TCCACACCTTCACCCTGGACTCGGGTGCGTCCCGCTCCTTCTTTCGAGACCGCACCACTCTTACGCCGCTCAGTCGGCCGGTTGCAGTCTCCCTGGCAGACCCCTCTGGGGGTCCTATCCTTGCTAGCTTCTCTACTGTCCTACCGTGCGCGGCACCCCCCTCTGGCACCCTGTCTGGTCTCTACCTCCCCTCGTTCTCTACGAACTTGGTGAGTGGAGTGGACCTACAAGATAGGGGGGTTGACCAGTTCACTCCTACAAGTCAGCGGGTGACCCACTGCACGTGTGCTCGGACAGGCCGACACTTGGCCACGTTCACCCGTCGGCCAGGGTTGAGCCTGTACACCCTTACTACTGAGTCTCCTCCTGTTGCTGAGTCTGCCCCCTGCTCACCTTACTCTAAGCTGCCTCGAGTCAGGTGCTTGCTGCGGCGTCCAGGTCTGGTCCTGAGTCTGCCCCCTGCTCGTCTCGTTTGCTGTCCCACCAGACTCTCCTTTGGCACCACCACCTTGGTCACCCCTCCTTGCCTCGTCTCTGGGGCATGGCCTCCCGTGTCCTTGTCTCTGGTCTCCCTCCGTCTCTCCCTCCCCTTCCTCCGGGGCCTGGCCCTACCTGCGTCTCCTGCATGGAGGGGTGACAGCACGCCTCCCCTCACTCCTCCGAGTTTCCTCCGACAAAGGCTCCGCTGCAAACTCTCTACATGGACGTGTGGGACCCAGCCCACGTCAGTGGGTAGGGGCGAGAGCGGTACTTTCTGCTGGTGGTTGACGACTACTCGCGTTACACAACAGTCTTCCTCTTGCGTAGCAAGGGTGATGTCATTGAGGTGTTGATTGACTGGATCCGCGCAGCTCGTCTCCAGCTCAGAGAGAGTTTCGGCTCGGACTTTTCTGTTCTGCGTCTGCACTCTGATAGAGGCGGGGAGTTTTCCCCTGCCCATCTGGGAGCCTTCTGTCGTGCACAGGGCATCCGCCAGACGTTCACGCTTCCGGCGTCTCCACAGCAAAATGGGATTGCTGAGTGCCGCATTGGCATGGTCATGGGCATCGCTCGTACGTCCATGATCCATGCGGCTGCTCACCATTTGTCCGCGACTTGTCTGCGGACAAGCTGTCCCCCTGTGTTGTTCCCTGCTTCTTCCTTGGCTTCCCCCCTGACGCGCCTGGTTGGCAGTTTTACCACCCCACCTCGCGCCGTGTTCTGTCCTCCCAGGACGTCACCTTTGACGAGTCGGTGCCTTACTACCGTCTCTTCCCCTACCGCACTGCGTCCCTCCCCCTGCCACCGCTCTTCCTTGTGCCAGGTCCTCCCTCGGTAGACCCCCTCCCCCCTCAGGGTCCTGTCCCATCAGGTGTGTCCCAGGTAGACCCAGTCGAGCCTGTAAAGGTAGCTGTTGACTCTGGTGCTGCTAGGAGATGCTGAGCCTGCGGGTGCCGGGTCTGGGGGTGCTGAGTCTGGGGGTGCTGAGACTGGGGGTGCTGAGCCTGGGGGTGCTGAGCTTGGGGGTGCTAAGCCTGGGGGTGCGGAGCTTGGGGGCAGTGGGTCTGCTCGTGTGGCCGCCGGCGGTGCTACGTTGAGGAGGGAGCCGCTCTCTCTACAGGAGCTGTGCGAGTGGTTTGCCCGCCGCTGGAGACGTGCTGCTAGGACTGGGGGTGCTACTGGGGCTACTCGAGTTGGTCCTACTAGAGCTGCTGACGGTGCTGGTGCTGCTGGAGCTGGAGCTGCTGCGGGTGTTGACGCTAGTGTTTCGACTGGCGCTGGTGCTTCTGGAGGTGCTGGTGGGGCTATTGGAGTTAGTCCTGCTGGAGTTGCTGGCGGTACTAGTGTTGCTGGAGCTGGAGCTGCTGGGGGTGTTGGCGCTGGTGTTTCTACTGGCGCTTGTGCGTCTGGGGGTGTTGCTGAGGCTGGTGGAGCTGACGGTCCTACTAGAGTTGGTGCTGCTAGAGCTGAAGCTGCTGGGGGTGTTGGCGCTGGCGGTGCTACTGGCGCTGGTGCTTCTGAGGATGCAGGAGTTGGCGATGTTGGAGCTCGAGGTGCTGCTGGCGCTGGTGCTACCGCTTGGGGTACTGGTGCTGTTCTTTCAGGTTTTGGAGGCGCTGAGCGGCCGAGGCCGTACTTCGTTCTGCTCCTGGAGCAGGTTCTTGGTCTCCCGCTCTCTCCTGGTCCTGCTCCTTCCTTAGAGTTTCCACAGCCTGTCCAGTCGCTGTCACAATTACAACCCGCCTCCCCTCTACCTGCTCCTTCTCCCTACACTGGTCCTACTCGAGGTCTTGCTGAGCGATGTGCGCCTGCGTCTCGTCCTGCATCGCTTGTTCGTACTGCTCGCCCAGTGGTCATACTGCGCGTCCGCGTCCTCCTGCAGTCCCCGACACACACCAAATGGCGCTGCGTCCTTCCACTACTCCTCTGCGTGTCCCGTTGCCGTCTCCTCCCGAGTCCTCTCTTCCTACTCTTGCTGACCTGGAGTCTGACTCCCTTCGTGCTGCTAGTCCTTCGGTCACGCGTCTCCTTTCTACTGTTGTCAGTGACCCCTCCTTTGAGTCCACTAGTGCGTCTGCCCTAGTTGCTGAGCTTGTCGACTTCGCTGCTCGCTGTCGTCTAGACTACGCTGCTAGTCTCGTTGCTGAGTCTGAGTCTGTCTGTCCTCCGTCCGTTGGGGGTGAGTGTGCTCTTAGCACGGACGTCCTTGAGGACAGGCAGGATGAGTTCCAGTGCTTTGCTGCTGGTTTGCCCCATCTCGTGTCCACGCTGATTGCCCCTGAGGGAGACCCGGATGCACCAGACATCCCTGACTCCTCGATCATACGCTGAGGCGATCGAGTGTCCCTACTCCTCTTAGTGGCAGTTGGCCATGGACACAGAGATGGCTTTCTCGAAGTCCACAGGCACCTACGTCGACGAGGTTCCCCCACCTGGGGTGAACATCGTCAGTGGCATGTGGATTTTCAGGGTGAAGCGGCCGCCGGGCTCTCCGCCTGTCTTCAAGGCGCGTTTCGTGGCTCGAGGCTTCAGTTAGCGGCAGGGAGTTGACTACTTTCAGACCTTCTCTCCCACCCCGAAGATGACCACTCTTCGGGTGCTACTGCATATAGCCGCTCAGCGCGACTACGAGCTTCACTCTCTTGACTTCAGCACAGCTTTCCTGCAGGGCAGCATGCACGAGGAGATCTGGCTGCGCCGCCCACCTGGCTTCTTTGGGTCGTTTCCCCCTGGTACCCAGTGGAGCCTCTGGCGGCCAGTCTACGGTCTCCGCCAGGCGCCCCGTGAGTGGCACGACACACTGAGGACTACACTTGCGGCTCTTGGGTTTGCTCCTTCTACTGCCAGCCCGTCCCTGTTTCTGCGCACCGACACCTCTTTGCCGCCGTTCTACATCCTCGTGTACGTCGACGACTTGGTCTTTGCCACTGCTGACACTGCTGGACTCGCCCACGTGAAGTCGGAGCTGCAGAAGAGACACACGTGCACAGACCTGGGTGAACTGCGCAGCTACCTTGGCTTACATATCACCCGCGACAGAGCACAGCGCACCATTACCCTGACTCAGTCACACATGGTGCAGCAGGTCCTTCAGTGCTTCGGCTTCACGTACTCCTCGCCTCAGGCCACTCCTCTGTCTACTCGCCACTCGCTCTCAGCTCTGCTTTTTGGATGAGTCCGTAGAGCCGAGTAGCCCGTATCTAGAGCTTGTGGGTTGCCTCATGTACCTGATGACCTGCACACGACCTGACCTTGCATACCCTCTTAGCATCTTGGCACGCTATGTTGCTCCTGGGAGACACCGACCAGAGCACATGGCTGCAGCGAAGAGGGTGTTGCGCTACGTGTGCAGTACGTCGGGCATGGGGCTAGTGCTTGGAGGGCGACGTCGAGTGGTCCTCACAAGTCACGCTGATGCTTCTAGGGCTGACGACCAGGCTCTGCAGCGGTCGTCACAGGGTTACACCTTCAGCCTTTGCTCTGGCTCTGTTTCGTGGCGGTCTACCCGCTCGTCTTCTGTTCGCAGCTCCAGCTCTGAGGCTGAGATCTACGCAGGGGCCATGGCTGCACAGGAGCTACGCTGGCTCACCTACCTGCTGACTGACCTAGGAGAGGGGCCTCGTTGTCCTCCAGTTCTGTACGTAGACAACAAGGCCATGCTGGCCTTGTGTCGGGAGCATAGACTGGAGCACAGAACGAAGCACATTGCTCTCCGCTACTTCTTGGCTCGTGAGCTGCAGCAGCGTGGTCAGCTCCGCCTCACCTACTTGGCCTCTGAGGCCAACACTGCTGATATCTTCACCAAGGCCCTTCCGCCTTGTGATCATCAGCGCTTCTGTACTTTGCCAGGTCTTGTGCCTACCTGGCCTCACTTGCTCACTTCTTGATCTTGTTTGTACTGTACTCTTTCGATACCTGCACTTGCTTGTTTACGTTTACATATATGATCTTGCATGTGAACTGGCCTTGTGGCCTTGTTCTTGTGCTCGGATTGTGTGGTGACTTTGTGATCCACCTTGAGTTTTCTTTGTTTTACTTGACTGGTTTTGTGACCACATGTTCTCCCCCACTTTGCCTATGAGGGTGTGTCAGAACATTATAGCTTATTCATATGTGTAGGCTGTTGTGGGGTAGCCCATAAGGGGTACAACCCAATTAGGGTTAGTACTTGTATCCAACTGTTTCATAGTTCAATCATTCTCGTTCTAATTCTCGGTGCGCTCAAAGTCAGCACCCGTTTGCAGTAACGGGCAAAGAACGGCTGCTGCTATACGCGATGTTGCAAGGTGCGCTAAGGAATATCGAGAAAATTCCTTACATTAACTCTCTCCACACTCTCTTGACACTTTGCATCAATCCTTACTACAATCGTGCATGCACAACAAAACAATCCCAAATACCGTACGGTATGGTGCACCTGGCTATTCAACAATTCAGGCAGCAATTCAGCCAGCGATAAGAACCTTACGTTCCCAACCCAACGAACAACTCTCCTTTCACACAAACACACATACATATCTCTAAAATACAGTATTGAATCCCTTCTGCTCCATGCGCTCGTTCCAGTTGAGGCACCTGACGAGGCTGGCAAACCAGTCGTCGGTTTGGTCGCGCTTGTTGACAGTGGGCACGGGGTGTGCGCTCATGGAAATGCGCACCGAGTCTCCCCGTGACAGCTGCTGCCGCTTCTTCCCGTCAAACGACACCCAGCAGTTGCTGCGTGCATCAGCAGGCACCTGGCGGGGGTTGAGAAGGGAATAGAGGGAGGATCAAGGGAGACAGGTAAAACATGAGAGAGAATATTAAGGGCGATAGGATGAGGCACAAGGAGAGACAAGGAGGAGAAGGAAGCTGCACAGAGGAAGATGCGAGGAGAGGAGAGAAACAAATGACGTCAGAGGTTGAGTTGAAATTCATCGGGCATGCAAAAGAGCAGCTAACAGGTGACACAGTAGATGGGAAGTGGCTGGAGTCCACACGGCGGCCAGGGAAAGACCCTGTGGGTGCACAGGGACTTACTCGAAGTTCAAGGAGGGCGGAGTCGGGCAGAATGATGGGGCGAAAGGAGAGGGAGTGTGGGCAGATGGGCGTGAAGAGCATGCATGGAACGTTGGGATGCACCTGCGTGGGTTGGGAGCGGTGGTAAGGGATGGGAGAGGTGAATAGACAAGGACTGAATGGAAGGAAAAGGAGAGGAAGAGAGGAAGGGTTGAGAGAGGAATGTGACTTGAGACAAGGAGGTAAGGGGAATGGAGCAGCGGAATAGGAATGAGAGAAACGTTGAACTCCACCGGAGAGGGAGATGAGGGATTTAGGAGGAGATAAACATCAAGACACGCACACATACATGCAGACAAACACACTCACACACCCATATACGAACGCCCAGCTACGCACCTCTCCCCCACACACCTCTCCCCCAACACCTCTTTCCTGCCATACCCATGCCGCACACATGTCCATCCCACACCCGTTCCCCATGCACCATGGAGCTACCAGCAGCAGTGGAGTACGTTGTGCTGCCCGTGGGGGTTGCAACTATCACCCCATCCGCTTGCATGCATGCACGGACAGCAATGTACACTCGTTCCCCCCCCCTCACCCCTCTTCCCCCACCTCATCCATTCCCCACGCACCATTGAGCCACCAGCAGCAGTGGAGTATGCAGTGCTGCCCGTGGGGGTTGCCACTATCACCCCATCCGCTTGCACCTTCCGGGAAAGAGGTGAGAGGCAGGAAAAAGGAGAGGGGAGGCAGGGGTGGGGAGGCAGGGGCGGGGAGGCAGGCGAGGGGAGGCAGGGGTGGGGGGGCCGGAGAGGGCACTAAGAGTGCTGCCCGTGAGCGTTGCCACTATCACCCTGTCCACTTGCAGCCGCAGGCAAAGAGGCGAACGAGGTCCTTAGAACGACATGTAATAGGCAGAAAGCAAGAGCAAGGACAAATAGCTGGAGAAGAGCCCATGGGCGTTGACATGAAAAGCAGAGAACACATGGAGGGAAGAGAGCACATGGAGAGAAGATGAAGCGCACATAGCACAGCATGTGAATCACCTTGGCTCTGCGCTGCCGCACGCAGCCTCACCTGGGCTATGAGATCGCGGCATTCAATCTTGCAAAGGTAGGGGTCAAGAGGCACCATGCAGGCAGCGGCTGCTGCACTTGATCGTGCCTTTGAGTCGCCTCAGAAGTCACCACCACCACCACCACCACCACCACCACCACCACCACCACCACCACCACCACCACCACCACCACCACCACCACCACCACTCCTGCTTGCCTGCTCACCTTGGTGATGAGCTTGCTGCGCTCGTAGCATTCAATCTTGCAGAGATAGGGGTTGGAGCCGCGGTCCACGACGACCTCGTTGAGCACGTCAAACACCTTCCCCGGCACCGCCTGCCCGCCCTTCACCACCTCGCACTTGAGGCGCATGCGCAGCGTTATGTACACGCCCGCCGTCTGCTCCTGCCCGTGAATCACCGCCTTGAGGTCCTGCTTGTACTGCTCGTACTGCGAGTAAGGACGGCCATGAGTGAGGGAGAGAGATAAGGGGAGTGTGGGAGAGAGATGGAACGGTAGAGAGTGGGGAATTGAATTGAACATAGGATGCAGTCCGTCCCCCCCTTGATGAGCTCGCACTTGAGGCGCATGCGCAGCGCTATGTACACGCCGGCAGTCTGCTCCTGCCCGCAAATCACCGCCTAGTGAGTGCTTTGAGTGGGTGCATTGCATAGCGAATTGCTCCTCAGGGCATGTGCGTACCGGGTGTGCTGTTAGAAAGCCAAGGGAGCCGAGGTTGAAGGAGACGATGGGCGGCACGGAGGAGCTGAAGATGTTGGACGCATGCAGGATGACCCCGTCGCCCCCCAGACACACCACAAAGTCCACCTTCTCGTGCAGCTTGCTGGTGGGGCGCGGGAGGTCGTGGAGAGGTGGGGACGGTCAAAACAGGAACAAAGGAATCAACGTTAGCTCACAGTCCCCATCCATTTGTCGGCCCGCAGACACACCACGAAGGCCACCTTCTCGTGCAGCTTGCTAGTGGGGTGGGAGTTCAGGGAAGGAGCACGAGGAGGCAGCAGAGGGCACATAACAACGTCAGCTCACAGCCACTGAACGTTCCCCCCGCCCCAAGACACACCACGAAGTCCACCTACACACGCAGAAAGGTAGGAAGGAGGGGAGGCGGGGAGGGGAGGGGCGCAAGGGTGGTGAGGGTAAGCAGGAGCCACAATCTTTTGAGTCGACTCAAAAGTGGTGAGGGTAAGCAGGAGCCACAATCTTGTTAGCGATTCTGGTGTCAGGCAAGCACACCAGCCGTGGGAGGCGGAGAGGAAGCGTGAGGTGGCTGAGCATCACGCTTCTAAGCTGGAGCAGCAGGTGCCTGTGCCGATGCCTCCCCCCGCCAGTGCTCTCAACCGGTGTAGGAAGTAAATTTCTGAGACGTCTCAAAAAGAGCAGCAGGTGGTTGTGCCGGTGCCTCTCTCCGCCAGTGCTCTCAACCGGTCGGCCTCTGCCTCCATGGGGTCCCTCTGCTCATCTCCATGGGTCATGTCCGCCAGCTCACTTTCCGCTGCAGTCATATCACCGGCTAGCTGTGCGACCTGCTGCTCCAGCTCAGAAGCGTGATGCTCAGCCCCGTCATGCTTCTCCTCCGCCTCCTACACCTGGTGTGCTTTCCTTCAACTTGCCCGATTAGCTTCCCCTTACCTGGTGTCCTGACTGTAGCGTTGCTCGCACCCCCTACCCTCACCTGGTCCCACTCCCACATGGTGTCCTGGGAGTAGCACCCCCCTCCCCTCCCACCCCGCCCCACCTGGTGACCTGAGAGTAGCACCTCCCTCCCCCCCCCCACCCCGCCCCAACCTGGTGTCCTGGAAGTAGCACCCCCCTCCCTCCCCACGCCGTCCCATGTGGTGTTTTGGGAGTAACACCCTCATATCCCCCCACCTGGTGTCCTGGGCGTAGCACCCCCCACCTGGTGTCCTAAGCGTAGCACCCCCCCACCTGGTGTCCTGGGCGCAGCACCCCCCACCTGGTGTCCTGGGCGTAGCACCCCCCACCTGGTGTCCTGGGCGTAGCACCCCCCACCTGGTGTCCTGGGCGCAGCACCCCCCACCTGGTGTCCTGGGCGCAGCACCCCCCACCTGGTGTCCTGGGCGTAGCACCCCCCACCTGGTGTCCTGGGCGTAGCACCCCCCACCTGGTGTCCTGGGCGTAGCACCCCCCACCTGGTGTCCTGGGCGTAGCACCCCCCACCTGGTGTCCTGGGCGTAGCACCCCCCACCTGGTGTCCTAAGCGTAGCACCCCCCCACCTGGTGTCCTGGGCGCAGCACCCCCCACCTGGTGTCCTGGGCGTAGCACCCCCCACCTGGTGTCCTGGGCGTAGCACCCCCCACCTGGTGTCCTAAGCGTAGCACCCCCCCACCTGGTGTCCTGGGCGCAGCACCCCCCACCTGGTGTCCTGGGCGTAGCACCCCCCACCTGGTGTCCTGGGCGTAGCACCCCCCACCTGGTGTCCTGGGCGCAACACCCCCCACCTGGTGTCCTGGGCGTAGCACCCCCCACCTGGTGTCCTGGGCGTAGCACCCCCCACCTGGTGTCCTAAGCGTAGCACCCCCCCACCTGCTGTCCTGGGCGCAGCACCCCCCACCTGGTGTCCTGGGCGTAGCACCCCCCACCTGGTGTCCTGGGCGTAGCACCCCCCACCTGGTGTCCTGGGCGCAGCACCCCCCACCTGGTGTCCTGGGCGCAGCACCCCCCACCTGGTGTCCTGGGCGTAGCACCCCCCACCTGGTGTCCTGGGCGTAGCACCCCCCACCTGGTGTCCTGGGCGTAGCACCCCCCACCTGGTGTCCTGGGCGTAGCACCCCCCACCTGGTGTCCTGGGCGTAGCACCCCCCACCTGGTGTCCTAAGCGTAGCACCCCCCCCACCTGGTGTCCTGGGCGCAGCACCCCCCACCTGGTGTCCTGGGCGTAGCACCCCCCACCTGGTGTCCTGGGCGTAGCACCCTCCACCTGGTGTCCTAAGCGTAGCACCCCCCCACCTGGTGTCCTGGGCGCAGCACCCCCCACCTGGTGTCCTGGGCGTAGCACCCCCCACCTGGTGTCCTGGGCGTAGCACCCCCCACCTGGTGTCCTGGGCGCAGCACCCCCCACCTGGTGTCCTGGGCGCAGCACCCCCCACCTGGTGTCCTGGGCGTAGCACCCCCCACCTGGTGTCCTGGGCGTAGCACCCCCCACCTGGTGTCCTGGGCGTAGCACCCCCCACCTGGTGTCCTGGGCGTAGCACCCCCCACCTGGTGTCCTGGGCGTAGCACCCCCCACCTGGTGTCCTGGGCGTAGAAGGTCTGCAGGAAGCCGAAGCCGGGCATGCGGGAGAGCGTGTCGTGCAGCTCCGGCTCCACCATCACGTTCATGCCCTCCTCGCGCTGCAGGAACCGCGCCACCTGGTGTCATGTGATTATAACGGGGATGGGTGTTAAATGAGGGGTATTGAATAATAAGAGCACCGGCTCCACCATCACGTTCATGCCCTCCTCGCGCTGTAGGAACCGCGCCACCTGGTGTGATGTGATTATAACGGGAATGGAATGTGATACGGGGAGTTGAGGTGGGGTTACGAGCAATCCAAGGCTTCTCGTTCATGCTCTCGACGTGGTGCAGAAAGGAGGGGAGGACCTCTGGGACTCCGTCATGCGACCACCAGTCGCACTGTCACGCCACATGCGCACCTCCATGGCTTCACTCCTGAGCTCCGTGGCGAGCTTTTTCACCAGCAAGACCGCCCGCGCCCACCACATCATAAAGGTGTTTTGTTTTGAGACGTCTCAAAACAGCACTTTTATCTCCTGAGCTCTGTGCCGAGCTCTTCACCAGTAAGACCGTCTGCGCGCCCGCCTGCGCCACATGAGCATCTGCTGGTGCGTGCTGGGGTGGGAGAAGGGTACCTGCAAACTATTCTCCTCCCTTCTCCTACTCCCACTCACTCACTTCCCCCCCTCTCTCACTCCCAACCTCCCCCTCCTAGCCCACTCACTTCCTTCCCCCCCTCTCCCAACCCGGAACTTCCCCTCCTCACCTCCATGGCTTCACTCATGAGCTCCGTCCCGAGCTTCTTCAGCAGCAGCACCGTGCGGGGCCGCGTGCGCCACATGAGCATCTGCTGCTGCGTGGAGGGGTGGGAGAAGGCGAGGGTGGAGGCGGTGACCTTCTCGCGAGTGCAGCTGATGCCGTCCGTACGCACCAGGTACATCTCCGCCTTCTTCCGCGACTGCACACGCACCACGCCCGTCGCCGACGCGCACATGTCCCCCCCGATGAACTCGCCCTCCGAGTCACTGCTGCTGCCACCGTCCGCGCTGCTCGCACTGCTGCTGCTGCTGGTAATGCTACTGGTGCTGGGAACCTCGGCGCTGAGGGTGCTTGCATTTGCAGCAATAGAGCTGCCATACTCACTAGGACTGTCACCCTCCTCACTGTCACTGTCATCGCTATACACCCCACCATTTCCCAGAGAGGTAAAGCTACCAGACATACTGGATAGCGTGCTGCTCATGCTCACGCTGCTGCTGCTGCTGCTGCTGCTGCTGCTGCTGCTTCCATTTCCCGTGTCCAGCCATCCCTCCGTGGATCCAGCAACATCAGCAGTCCATGCACCACCTCCTCCTGACTCCATTCCCCCCTCTGTTCTTCCTCCCACCCCTTCTCCTGCATCCCCGCCCCTGTCAGTTTCAGACAGCACCGCACCAGACCCCGTGGTAACGAACCTAGTACCTTCATCGCTTCTTTCATCATCCTCCGACTCCACCTCGCCTCGCCCTCGCGCTGTCAGCACTTCTCCTATACCCGTTACAAAGGACTCGCTACTGGTTTCTCGCACAATGCTGACCTCGGACCCAGACGAGTCTATCAATATCTCGGCCGTGCTGCTGCTGCTGCTGGTGACAGCCTTGCCAGTACTGCTGCTGCTGCTGCTGCTACTGCGACTGGTCTTGCCCTTGCGAAGAGTGGCCGTTCTCCCCAGGTAAAACGGCGACAGGTGTTTCCGCTTGCCCCAAGACTTCCGCTTCAGTTTCGGCCGTTGAGCTTCCAGCGGGTTGCGGACAATGAGCCACTCGCCGTCGCTGCCGCTGCTGCTGCTGCTGCCCTCGTCTTCGCTGTCACTCGCGGCAGAGCCACTCCAGCCGTTGTCACTCTCACTCCCGCTGTTGGTACCGGATAATGCTGACGCCTCTGCTGCTCCCGGTATCGCCTTGGGTTGCTGGCAGTAGCAAAGGAGAGTAAGAAAAAGAAAATGATGAAACAAAAAAAACAGTAATGCTATTTGTGGTACCAGCTTGAGGGAAGAAAAAACTCGAGCAACGGAAAAATGTAAGATTAGGAGACGGAACTGCAGAAACGCGAGCGTAGGAAATGAAGAGAACAAATGAGAATACGTACCGTCGACTCAGACACACTTCCGTACCAAATTCACAACTAACTTCGTGCTAAACAGCCCATTTCAGCTTTCCCGAAACCTACTCTCCTCATCACAAAACGGACAGTGTCTCCGTTCATGTCCTGGAGCAACATAATCTTCAACTAGAAAAAGAAAAACGTTCACACAACAAAGACGCACATAAAAATGACTCACATGTTCCCTGTTTCCCGAAGCCGAGACATGAAGGCGCAGTGGCGAGTCTGCGTCAATGAAGCCAGGAACTGTTGTTAACGAATTCGCTCGTAAACGGGTATGTCCTGTGAAGAAACTGTCTCTTCGCCGCTGAAGACCATTCGCACTGGTGATAGCCGCACCGGTATTGCCGAAACAAATGTTGCCTGCACTAGCTATAAATTTACTACCGCGTCTCGTTTGGGTACGGTCCACTAGGCGTAATGCGTGTCGTGGGCGAGAGGGTAAAGCGACAGGGTGGATTGAATGTGGACGAGCATGAACGGTGCCGGACTGGTTTCTGATAGGACAACGGTATTGCGGGGAAGCTATCATGCTGCACGTCAGCACCGTTTGATTTGTGGCGAGCTCCATCTCACCGTTGATTAGCCGAAACGCTTCACGGTCGCTTGGATAATTGGTATAATAAAATCGCCTCAGTGATTGCTAAGCAGGGTCCGAGACGCTAGTTGTTCAACCAACACAACAGCGGTAGTAAGAAACAGCGAAGTACGCAACCTCGAAATTATCGTGTAATGCAGACCTCCACAGAACTGATGAGGCGGAATCTAGTACTACAATCATGACAAGTCTACTACGGCCCTGCTAATTGAGTCAACTCATTTTCGCTAGCCTGGGAGAAGCTTGTTCAGACGTTTTTTCAGTCATGGCGAACGTGGTTACTTCATATGACCTTTTGCGCAGCTCGTGTTTGTTCGCAAAGACTTTCCAGTCACTCAGCCGATCGCACTGTGTTGACGGATATGGTCTGTACCCTGGCAACTGGTGTGCGTGAGATGCGCGTAACCAGGCCAGCTTCAGAGTGGTGGCGAAAGGGTTGACGTGGCGGCATATGGCTAAAACAGCTGACGTGGTTACCGCAGATTTGGGATCAATGCTGGAATCTGCCCAGCCTAACCCTGCGCGTGGCATTCTTTCAACCAGGTATGACATGCAGGAAAAATCTGCCCTCGGAACAAGCGAATTCGCGACAACATTGGTTACACTAGGAAACAGTTAGATTCACACACCACATATTAAGACTTTTGCACCTGTATTTCACCAACCCTTGAGTCCATAAGCCACACCAGGAAGAAATTACAGGACAGTGCTACATCCAGCTGTACGCTGCCCAACCCTATTTCTTCCTGCCTCCACGTTCCTTCAAGCTCATAACCACTGCCTCCCCAGGCCCAACATTATAGTACGCCAGCGAAAGCGAATCCTTGAAGAAACCTGCCTTGCCACTGAGCTTTTGCTTGTTGGCTGGCACGCTGCCACCCAGAGCCTGCGCAATGTGCTCTTTGAAGGCACCAGTTGATTCGCTGAGTGACGACACCAGCACCTCCACCTTTTGCCCGTTGAGTGCCGGCTCGCCCTCTACTGAGGGCAGCATAACCACCACTCGCACTGGGCCCTGAATAGAACAAAGTTAAGAAAAATTGTGAAAGAAAAAACAGGGGTCAAACGGAATCTCGAAACTTGTGATCAGATGTGTGGTGATGTGAGAACCTGGTTGGCCAGGAAAAAGGAGAAAGAAGATGCAACACTCGAAATGCAAGAAACAAGGTGAGGAAAGCGTGGGAGGGAAAAGACAAGCACATGGGGACACTGACCGGGTGCTGTGCGAGGAAGACATTCTCCGGGATCAGATTCTCCTCTGTCTTCTGCCTCTTCGCATCATGCTCATCCTCCCCTCCACCCCCCCCTCCTGCCGCTGCCGCAGCACCTCCAGGCATCATACCCCCCGGAACCATCCCCATACCCATCTGCACCCCTCCCGGCATCCCCATCGGCACACCCATGGGCATGCCCCCTGGGAAACCCGGGAACCCTCCCGGCACCATCCCTGGCTGCCCTGGGGCCATCATGGGCGGCCGCATGCCAAACATCCCTCCCGCTGCAGCAGCCGCCGCAGCAGCAGCTTGGTTCTGAGCCATCAGCATGGGGTTGATCATACCAGGCATACCCGGCATGCCCGGCATTCCTGGCATGCCTGGCATGGGCATGCGGGGCATGCCGTAAGCAGCCATGGTGGCGATGGGAGGAGGCATGTTGCCTCCGGGGCGCATGTGCTGCATACCGGGAGGAGGACCCCCGGCAGGAGGGCGCGGGAGAGCAGCAGGTCGAGCAGCAGGAGGAGACGGAGCCGGGGCTTGTGGGCCCGAAACCGGGCGGCTCGGCTCGTCCTTTTTCTCCGCAGCGGGCGGCTGCGCGAGGCTCTGCTGCAACGCCTGGGTGGCGGTTCGGCCAATGCTGGCAGTATGCCCGTCCCACATGACCCGGCTCGGCGCGCCCTCGTCCTTCTTCTTCTCCATCTCCGCCCGAACTGCCTCCGAAACCTCCTCCGCCGTGGTCCCAAAGATATCCGGGCGGGTCTTGGCCAGCCCGACGATGTTCTTGGAGATCTCGTCGTCGTTGGCGAGGGTGTTTTCGCGCAGCTTGGCGAGCATGCGCTCCTTCTGCTCCTTGTACTTGGGGTCGATGAGCGAGATGCGCATGTGCTCCGCCATGTCCGCTATTGGGATCAGCTCGCCCGTGATCGGGGACACCACCACCTTGGTAGGGTCTTGCTCGGCCGCTGCTCGCTCCTCTGGTCGCTTCCAGTTGCGCACGATGCGCATTGGTGCCTCCTCCTCCTCCTCTTCCATGTCCATCTCGTTCTGGTGAGAGAGGGAAAGAGGGAGGGGGGGAGAGGAGGGAGAGGGGGGAGAGGGGGGGGAAGAGGGGAGTTGGGGTGGGGAAAAGGGGGTGGGCGGACAGAGAGGGGATAGTGTGGGTGGGCCACTTCTAGTTCGCACAATGCGCATTCCCAGGACCAAAGCACTGGAATTCCCCACCCAGCTCATCACAAACGAACATTTCCAACAAACGAGCGAACCCAGCCCTGCCCTGACCACTCCCCCTGCACACACGTCCCACTCACCTCCTCCACTTCAGCAGGCGGCGGCGGCGGTGGCATCTGCGGTGGTGGGGGCGGAGGAACACCAGCAGGCGCACCTCCCTCCTCCCCCATCTCCATCTCCTCCCCTCCCCTCTCCCCTTCTGCCTTCTCCCCTTCCCCTTTCTCCGCGCCCTTCCCCCCCTCCCCCTCCGCGATCCCCGCGGCGCGCATGCCCTCCTCCACCAGCTTCATCTCCTCCGCGTCCATCGTCTGCGCCGCCTCCTTCTCCCCCTTCGCCTTCTCCGCCGCCGCCGCCGCCGCCTTCGTCCCCGGCTTCGCGCCCGCCTCCGCCGCCGCGACCGCCGCGGCGTCCTCCGCCTCGAGCTCCTCGTCCGCGCCGAGCTGCTTGCTCTTTCTAATCACCTCCTCTATAGTCATCGGAACCGGCAGCTCCGCCTCCTCGTCGTCCGCGAACTCGATAGTCTCTACGACTATGAAATCGTGCCAGTCGATTAGAGCCATCTGCAATCGCTCCTGCTCGATCTCGTCCTCCGCTTTCTTCCGCGCCTTCTCCTGCTTCTTCTCGTAATCGAGCCGCGTCTGGATCCGCGCCATGATCGCGGCCTGCCCACCCGGGCCCGCGTCGCGCTTCACCTTGTCTAATACCTCCTTAGGAGGCATTAGTACTTTGGAGTACGCGTCCGCGAGAGCGGTGAAGAAGGTGAATAGGCTGTGCGTGGGCTTGAGGAAATTGAACTGCGGGTTCATGTGCTCGCGGCTAATCAGTCCCGTTAAAAACGTCTTTCCGTTTCGCGCCACGAGTTGCGCGGTCAGCTTGATAACGTCCAAATCCTGCCCGGACATGCCTTCCGGAATCCGAACCGTGTACTGCTCCGGTTCGGGCAGATCCGGAAGCTTCGCCGCTGCTGCCGAAGTCCCTGCTGCCGCCGCGTCTTTGCCAGCCTCCGGAAAAGGCCCTGCGGGGCCTGCAGGCTTGACAACCGCAGCTGCAGCCCCAGCTGCTCCCGGAGCCGCCCCGGCAGGAGCTCCGGCTGCCGAGCCAGCTGCCGAACCTGCACCAGGCTCGGACGCTATAGGTTCGGGCTGAGCCGGAAGATTAAGCTGCGCAAGCTGCTCGTTAATCTTGTGCCGGTAGTACGCATGGTAGGGATCGGTGGGCGTGAGGAAATTAAACTTGACGTTCCCTTTGTTGGCGGCAAGAATCTTCTTCTCAAAATCCGGACCGTTTCGGGCGACGAAGGTGGCGGTTTTGTCGACGATACTGCGAATATCGGGGGGAGGGTGAATGATGCCGATCGTCTTCGTCTGCGTCGCAACCACCACCGGTTTCGGCTTCTCTGCCGGTTTCTGCTGCCCAGACCGTTCTTCAGCCGTCAGGACTGACGGCGTAGCGTCTTTCAAGCCGCCAGGCGGCGGCGCCGGAAGAGCTAGCGTCTCGCCTGGCATGTTGAACGGCCTTATGCGAAGGAACGTCTAGCAAACTAGCATGTGCTGAGATGTCGGATCCTTACAACGTCTCAATCCTAGATAAATCAGGACGTAGAGCGCTGCACAAGCGCTTGTGGTACTCGTTGCAGGATATGGCCGACAGCTAATATTCCTCCTGCCCAGAGTCCAGAAGCCTGTAAGTGGCGACGCGGAAACCCAGTCGAGGGAAAACGTAAGGGAATACTGAGAAAAGAAGGATGGGTAGGGAGGGAGAGAGTCGAATTTATTTCAGTCGTGGGTGTTCGGGAGACCAGAATCTAGGGTTCTTTTAGCGAGAGTTGCGAACTGCGACAAGATTCGAATATGTGACGAAAATCGTTACTTGCTCAAGCGCTGGTATATCTTCTTCGCTATGCTAGATTTGTAACACTGCGACGACGTTTCTTCACGTCCTACCGAGTTGCTAGGAGCAACTCCCAATTACCCTATCCAGGCAGTCTCTCCAAGTTTGCTTTCTGTTACGAGTGCAATTGAGTGAACGAACGAGAATTGCACTATCGAAGCAAGAGTACAAAATGAGCGAAGGCATGAGCGAAGGATTATATAGCGAAGCAATAGTGGTAACGGTAATGGACTGTGGTTGTCGCGCGACGAGCCTGGGACTGAGGTTGGGAAAGTGTCGAAGCGTAGGCCCGGAGCGCGGGTTACCAGCCGAGCCGTGAGGTCGGGATGCGATGTGCGAAAAGGGCGGGATGATGAATGATGCGATGGTCGCGAGTGGTAACGGTGCTGACTGAGGTGCTACAGTGATGTACGCGTTGAGCAGGGACGCGAAGTAAGGAAAAGGGAATTTCCTTACACTACCCCCCTCCCCAAGGAGGCCCCTCTTACGAGAGCGCATGGACGTCGCGGAAATTTCGGCTTCGCAGATACTAGGTGAAGACAGGGTGGTTCTCAATTTTATCCAGGGGGACCCAGTTGTCTTCTGTGGGCGTTCGATCCTTCCAGCGAATTAGGAATTCGATCCGTCGTGCTCCCCGAGGGTTGCGGACTCGGTGGCTGAGGATTTTTTCAGGGGTGATTAGTGGTTCGGTTGGGGGACGTGTCATGCTGGCTGGGCGATTTCGTGGCAGTTGGCTCGTGGATGGTATGTAAGGGCGAAGTAGGCTGACGTGGAATGACGGGCTGACGTACCAGTCAGCAGGGAGGAGGAGGTGGGCGGTGACGGGTGTGATCATGTGGCTGATGCGAAATGGCCCACAATATCGGGGGCGAAGTTTTGGAGTGATGGGCAGGCGGAGGTTCTGGGTATCGAGTAGTACCAGGTCGTCTGGCTGGTAAGTGACAGGTCGACGGTGGCGATCGGCGTTTCGTTTAGCGATGATGTTGGCTTTTTTAATTGCGTCTGCTGCCCTGGTCCGTGCTGCTTGCAAAATCTCGGCGAACTGTTGGGCTCGTGGGACTGGATTGTCGGGGTGTGGGGTCATGGGTACTGTTGGGTCCTGTCCGTAGTTCAGGTAAAACGGGGACTGTTGCGTCGTGGCTGATGGTGCGTTGTTGTACGCGAACTCGATGAGCGGCAGCTGATGTTCCCACGTGTTCGGATCGTCGCACGTGGCTCGAATCAGCTGCTCCATGGTTTGGTTTGTCCGTTCCGTCTGTCCGTCGGTTTCGGGGTGATAGGATGAACTGAATTGAAGTCGTGTGCCGAACTGCTGCCACAGGTTCCGCCAGAAGTTGCTGGTGAATTTCGTGTCGCGGTCGCTGATGATTGCCGATGGTATCCCGTGGAGGCGAACGACGGTGGTGATGAAGAGGCGGGCTGTTTCTTCGGCTGTGATTGATTTCTTGCATGCTGCGAAATGTGCCATCTTCGTCAGTCGATCGACGGCGACCAAGATCGCGTCGTTCCCACTCGCCCCGGCCGGTAACCCCGTGACGAAGTCCATCGTCACCTGCTGCCAAGCACGCTCTGGGGGTGGGATCGGCTGCAACTGTCCTGCCGGCCGCTTCCGTGATGATTTCATGACCTGGCAGGTGGGACACGATGCTACGTGTCGTTGGATGTCGGTCAACATTTCTGGCCAGTAATAATACCGCTGCAGCTGCTGTCGTGTTTTTTCTACCCCGAAATGTCCTGAGGTAACTCCGTCGTGTGCCTCTTGTAACAGTAATTCCCGTAGTAGTGTATACCCGGGTACCCAAATGCGGTCGGTCCCAACCTTTACGTAATAGATCCCTCGTGCTGCTGCGAACTGCTGCGAGTTGCCTCCTGTAAAGAACGGGTCGGTTTGGTATCCGTGGGTAAATAGGCCTGTCAGCAGTGGGCTGGTCTGGGCGAGTAGTATCGCGTGAATCTGGGCAGTAGGGCGAGTCAGTGCATCGGCGATATTTGATGCTCCTTTTTTGTAGGTGACCGTGTAGTGAAAATTCGACTCGAGGAAATCGAGCCATCGAATCTGTCGTGGGTTGAGGTGAGGCTGTGCGCGGAGGTACTGTAGAGATTTGTGGTCTGTCCGTACTGTCACGTCTGCGCCGGTCAAGTAACAGCGCCACACTTTGAACGCATGCACGATCGCAAGCATTTCGCGATCGTGTATCGGGTAATTCTTCTCAGGTGGGTGCAGTTTTCGTGATTCGTATGCGATGGGCTGTAGGCCGTTCCCGAAATCCTGTAACAGTACGGCTCCGATGGCGATGTCGCTTGCGTCAGTAATGACTTCGAATGGGCGGTGTGGGTCGGCAATGCGCAGGACAGGTGGTGAACAGAGAACAGTTTTCAGGGTAGAGAAGGCAGCATGCTCTTTCTCCCCCCACGTAAAAGCGACCCCTTTCCGCAGCAGATCCGTCAGTGGGGCAGTTAAGCGGGCCATGTCAGGCACGAATCGACGGACATAATTAACGAAACCCAAAAAACTCTGCAGCTCCGTGATGTTTGTCGGGGGTTGCCAAGCGTTGACCGTATCCAGCTTCTTCGGGTCAATCTCAACCCCAGCCTCTGAAATAACGTGCCCCAAAAATTCTAACCTATCCCGAAAAAACTCGCACTTAGACCCCTTAGTCAATAAACGATGCTCCTCGAGAATTTTAAACACTGCTTCCAGGTCCGCTAAATGCTGCTGCTTATCGCGACTGTAGACGAGAATGTCGTCGAGGTAGACGATCACGCACTTATCTAAAAGTGGTCTAAACGCCTCGTTCATGGTCATCTGGAATGTTGCGGGTGCGTTGGTTAGCCCGAAAGGCATCACGGTGTACTCGAACGACCCGTACCTAGTTCTAAAAGCTGTCTTGGCGCAGTCCGATGGTTCGACTCTAATTTGATGGTAACCTCCCCGTAGATCTATTTTCGAGAACACCCGTGCTGTTCGCAGTTGGTCGATCAGTTCGTCGGCGCGGGGAATGGGGTATCGTGACTTTATTGTAACCCTGTTGAGCGCTCGGTAATCGATGCACATGCGAAAACCTCCGTCTTTTTTTGGTGTGAATAGTATCGGTGCGGCGAACGGCGACGAGCTCGGTCGGATAAACTGCTTTGCTAACAGGTAATCTAACTGCTTCCTCAGTTCGTCGAGCTCCGGCTGTGTCAGTCTGAACTGGCGCTGTACAGTTGGCTGTGCCCCCGGCTCTAACTCTATCCTATGGTCGTGCGCCCGCTGAGGTGGCAGTCCTTCCGGTAAGTCGTCGGGGAAAATTCCCGGGTACCGTTTCAATAGCTCTTGTAGCTCCGGCGGTACCGCTGTCAGCAATTTTTGGAAATCACTCGGCTGCTCATCTTTTTCTACCACTGCGATGTCTACTGCATACACGTCAGCTCCAGCGGCGACTGCTCGTTTCATTGTGATGGCGTTGACGTGGACCGTCGATGACTCAGGCGACTGCCAGCGTGGTAGTTCGACCCAGTTGCCACTACTTCGCACAGTGCAGCTGCCCGTCGTCCAGTCGATTCTCGGATTGTAACGTCGCAACCAATCACGTCCCAATAAAATGTCGTGCCCATCCAGTGTCGTCGCGAGCATTTCCTGTGTAAACCCGAAGTTTCCCCCGCAGCGAACTTTTACTCTCTCCACCTTCTCCCGTATGGCCAGCGGCGTGCCGTCGACTAAGCGCGCATCAATCTCAGGTAAACATCGGCTAAGTGTCAGTTGAAGTTTTCGTGCGGTTGCGGTATTAACTAAACTGTGGCTAGCTCCTCCGTCGATGAAAATCTTGACTGCTGCTCCCTGTATTTTCCCGTGGATCAGTACTGGGCAATCCGTCGCTGTACCCTCCTTATTCATCCGAGCCCGATCGATGGCGTGAATCGGTACTGTGACTCGGTGAGGGTCGGTGTGGTTGGGCGAGCAGGCAGTCTCGTCAGTAGTTGGCCCAATTTCTACTGACTGCTGGCGTTTCCCTGCCTCTGAGACTCCCTCCCCTGCTCTGCTCCTCGACGCCTCAGCTCTTCTGGACATTCGCTCTTGCGATGGCCCGGCCGGTTGCAAGCAAAGCAGCGCCCTCTAAATGGCGTGGCAGCTGCATTCGTTGCGACGGCATGTACGGTGGCGTGCTCGATCAGTCCCCAAGGACGATGTCCGAAATAGGACCCCGGTCTCGGTCGGCGTAGGATATCGATTTTCTCGGCGAGCGCGAGGATTTCGTTGAAATTCGATAGCCCGCGTAGCATTATCTCGTGCGATATGTCCGGCTTCAGTCCGCCGACGTAACGGTCCACCCGCTCCGCCTCGTGCATGTAGCCGACCTGTTCGCAAAGTGCGAGAAAACCGCTGGTGTAGTCTTGGACCGACCCGAGCTGGCGCCAAGTGCGCAGTTTCTGACGCGCCGAAATAGAAGCCGCGATCGGCTCAAAACGCGCCCGAAGCCCTGCGCACCACGCATCCCACGTGCTATATTGGGCTGTTTCGCAGAACGAACTCCAGGTGACAGCTGGACCCGAGGGCCCTTCCTCGTGCGGCGGTGGCTCGTAGGCGCGTGGCGATGTCACGATGACTCGCCACCAGTCCATGGCGGGGCCCCTGAGTAGTGAAACTGCATACCGAATCTTGGCGGCGTCCGACTCGACGTAGTTGGCGTCGAAAAACACGTTCATCGTGAAGACCCACGATTGAACTGTCGGGCCACCGCGTTGGCTTGGGTCGAAGCAGGGCGGGCGTTGCGGCTTGAGTGGCATTGGGGCCATCGTGGCGTTCCCTCCACTTGTCATCGCAAACTCCACGTGCCGACGGGCTTCTCGGGGCTCCCGTGGGCTTGATGCATTCCTGTTCCCTCCCATGCCGGGCATCGGTTGGGCTGCGCCGTCACTGGCTGCGCCTGAGCGCTGTCCCGTGCTGTTGTTTTGCGTTGGTGTGCCGGATGAGATAACAATCGGCTCCTCCGAATGGACAGAAACATTGGTTGGCGCTTGGGAAGTTGTCGGAGCGTTCACCGTTGACTGTTGACGGGCGGAGTCACGTTCCGCCGTGAGCGTCGCGATTTCGAGCGCTGATTCCTCCAGCTGTCGCACGAGACGATCGAGTTGCTCCTGCGTCAACGTGGCGATAGTGAAATCAGCCATGGCAGGGGTGTCGGGCAAGCTCAGCGAGAGCCTCAGTCGTGGCCGTGCGTGCTTCCGAGAGAGCACTACGAGCGGCGGTGCTGTATCGCTGAGAGACGTCTACCCCCCCCAAAAATTGAGATAGTGGGAAGCGAAGGTGTGGATGCGGTCCGAGATGAGATCGTAGGCTCTGAATACCAAGTGTTACGAGTGCAATTGAGTGAACGAACGAGAATTGCACTATCGAAGCAGGAGTACAAAATGAGCGAAGGCATGAGCGAAGGATTATATAGCGAAGCAATAGTGGTAACGGTAATGGACTGTGGTTGTCGCGCGACGAGCCTGGGACTGAGGTTGGGAAAGTGTCGAAGCGTAGGCCCGGAGCGCGGGTTACCAGCCGAGCCGTGAGGTCGGGATGCGATGTGCGAAAAGGGCGGGATGATGAATGATGCGATGGTCGCGAGTGGTAACGGTGCTGACTGAGGTGCTACAGTGATGTACGCGTTGAGCAGGGACGCGAAGTAAGGAAAAGGGAATTTCCTTACACTTTCGCTAAAAAAACTTACTTCACCGCTTCAGACAAATATTCTACCGCAATTGTTTCCCTGAACCCCACACTTTCCTCCTTTAGTCCAGGCCACTCAATACAAATTCTGTTCTGATTACACCACCCAGGAAACTAGGCAGGTTTCAGGAGGCTGCTCTTGAATCAGCAGCCGCATGATCGCCGACGTTTTACGGATAGGGACGCCTGTCGGCTGCTAATGAGCTCGCAGCTCGCGCTTCCCGGATCGCTGCCGAATCCTATGCGTATTCCAATGAGATGTTATTGTGTCGCGAACGGATCGAAAGTACTCGATGGTGTGTCCGTAGGTTTGTAGCATATCGAGAATCACCATTAGGTTCTACCTCTAGAGATGCGAAGCGCGGGGCTTTGAAAGGAGAGCATCGGATTGCTGAAGGACGTGCGTTAGTGACCTAATCGGCTGCAACACTGCCGTAGTTCACAGTCACAACAACCCGCATTTGCCGTATTGACTACCCCGTTAAACTTAGATAGAGCCAAAACGCTTTCACCCTACGGTGCGAACAGACCTCCTTTCGAGCCTTCTTTCTCCCCGTGTTCGGAGCTTCCGCTTCCCGTTCTCGCCCCCTCCACCCCCCTTCCCCGGACCCTCCCCCTTCCCCCCCTCCGCGCGCAATGGAGGAGGCGCAGCGTAAGGCGGACGAGATGCTGGCGGAGCTGCAGGCGGGGAGCGGAGCGGAGGAGAAGGCGGAGCGGATGGAGGCGGCGGTGGAGTACTTGGCGGGCCTTCCGCCCGACATGCGCGCGACCGTGCTGCCCGACGCGCTGCCGCGCCTGTTAGAGCTTCAGGCGGACTCGACGTTTCTCGTCCGGAAAAACTCGGTCGAGTGAGTGTTGTACGTAACGATGAGTATGCTTGCTGATCGCCTACTGTGCTGCTGACTACCAGACGTGCCACCGGAAGTCGTGCTGCCGTGCCTGCCATGCCACCCCGCACCTCGCACGCGCCCTTGCCACTCACCCTCCCTAATCTAAATCCCCTCTCCGCCAAATCCCTCCCCCCCTCCCCTCCCCCCCCCCCCACCCCTTGCCCCCTCCTCCCCGCAGGCTCTTCTACCGCCTCGGCTCTTCCATAAAGCATCGCGACGCCTCTGCGCTCATGGCCTCCGCGCTCGCCGCCATCATCCGCTCCTGTCCGCCCATGCCCCTCCCCGCGCCCCCCCCTTCCGCCGCCTCCGCGCCCCCCGCGCCGTCCCCTGCTACTGCTGCGGCGCTCACGCCTCTGCCCGCGCGCCTGGCCCCCGCGGCTGTGGCGACCACCAAGGCAGTCAAGCACGCCATCTCCGCTGCTTCTGCCCTTGTCAAAGGCGCCTTCGCTGCTGTCACTCCCGTTACAGGCGAGGTGAGCTGCGTTCTGTCTGCTCTACTGTTACAGGCGAGACGGGCTCTGGTTTGTTGTTGTGTGCTGCTGCTGCTGCTGCTGGTAGTGCTACTGCTGCAGCGCTCATGCCTCTCCCCGCGCGCCTGGCCGCCGCGGCTGTGGCGACCACCAAGGCAGTCAAGCACGCCATCTCCGCTGCTGCCGCCCTCCTTAAACGCGCCTTCGCTGCTGTCACTCCCGTCACAGGCGAGGTGAGCCTTTTTCTGCTGCTGCTGCTGACGCTCCTGTTGCATGTGAGGTGCATCAGAAGCACCGTGTGAATGTGCCTCGATACTGTCACAGCTCAGGTCAATCGAAACTAGGACCGTGTGAAGTGAATGAGCAAGTGCTGCCTGCCAGGTCAATACACCAACAACACGGACTCTCATCCATTTCCAGTCCCCTCCCCTCGGTTTCCCCTCCACTCCCCTCCACTCCCCTTCCCTCTGATCAGCCCCAGGCGTGGTCAGAGGCATGGGAGCAGGTAGCAGCGCTGGTGCCGCTGATAAGGGACATGCTGCCAGGGCAGTACCCGGACAGCGTGCGCGTGCATGCAGTGGGCTTCACAGAGATGCTCGTTCTGCTCGGCCGACCAGGCGGCAAAACTGCTGCTGCTTCTTCTTCTTCTGCTGCTGCTGGTAGTGGTGGTAACGGCAGCAGTGGGCAGAACGGGAGCAGCGGAAGGGACGGGGCGGATGGCACAGACATGGCAAACGGAGTGTTGCATCTCCCCGACCCTGACTCCGACCCATGGCTTAAAGCCCAGTCCCTCGCCTCCCTCTCCGCCCTCACCTCTCTGCTGCAACCCCCCGCAGTCGCCTCGCTCTCCCCCCCGCTCCTCCTCACGCTCACCAGCAGCCTTGCTGGTATCGCCCGCCGCTGCCCCGCTCTTTATAGTTACATTGTGCCGGCGCTGGTGGGGATTGTGCCGCCCACTGCCACGTCAGCGGCGTCGGCGCCGGTGGCGGTGCCAAGTGGGGAGGAGAGTGGGTGTGGGGTGGTGCAGAAGCTGCTGCAGGCGTCGGGTAGTGTGAGGCATGGCGTGCGGGCGGCGCTGCTTGTCATGTTGCGGCTCATGCCGCTCGCTCCAGGCGGGATGAAGGTGGGTGGGAGCGGCTGCTGGTGTGGGTTGGGGGATGTGGGTGTGGGTGTGGGTGTGGGTGTGGGTGTGGGTGTGGTTATGCGTATATAGTTTGGGTATGGTGTGGGTGTGGGTGTGGTGTGGGTGTGGGTGTGAGTGTGGGTGCAGTTGTGGTAGAGGTGTGTTGTTTCCACTGCTGGTTTGTTCCATATGAATGTGAAATCTAGCCCAAAACATGACTGGCCCATTTACCACCCCTCTTTTCTTCCCTACCCTGCCTCGTTGCATCCCTCACCACCACCAGTGGCGGGACTGCTTGACATCGCTCGTGAAAGAGTCATTGGGACCAGGCGAGGCCGTTGAATCCTCCCTTGAAGGCACATCAACCCATCTCTCTAACCCTCTCCTTCGTTTTTTTTCTTCCCCCTTGTCCTCTCTCCCCTCCACCTTCACCACCACCAGTGGCGGGACTGCTTAACATCACTCCTGAAGGAGTCACTGGGAGCAGGAGAGGCCGTCGACTCATCTCTAAGGCACATCGACCGCTCCCTTCGCAACTCTGCCGCTGCTGCCTCTGCAGCTGCAGCTGCCGCCGCCGCCGCCGCTGCTGCTGCTGATGGTCCCTCTGGTGCTTCTGGTGTTTCTGTGGGGGGTACTGGTGCGGGTGGGAGTGGTGGTGGGGCTGGGAGTGGTGCTGCTACTGCTGGTGGAGGAGGTGGTGGGGGGGGCGAGGGAGCAGCAGCAAAGGCGTCTGCAGGGTCAGGGAAGGCTGCTGGCCGGCCTGCTGATCCACGGGTGAGTATGCGTGTCTGTGTATGTGCGCACGTGTGCACGCATGCGTGCCCGTGCACCTGCATCAGTGTATGTATGTATGTGGTTGTTGCCGCATGCTCTGTTTTCCCTGCCTCTCGCCCTTCGCTGCCTCTCCCCCTATTCCATCTTCTCGCTTTTGCGCTTCCCCTTGTGCTTTCCGCACACGCGTCTCCGCCAGGCCAAGGCAGCAGGAGTGAAGAGAGCGAGGGGTGCAGCTGCTGACACAGGGGCTGCTGCAACCCCACCAGGCACCACCACAGCCACTGCTGCCGGTGCTGGTGGCACTGCTGCCACTGGTGCCAGTGGTCCCAATGCTGCTGCTTCAGCTTCAGCAGATGCAGCTGCTAATGCCGCCGGTGGCGCTGCCACGGCTGGTGCTGCAGGTGCGCGTGCATCTGAGGCCGTTGATGACGCTGCGACGCGAGACTCCAAGCGCATCCGACCGTCCACTGCTGCCCAAGCCAGCACAGCCACTCCTGCTGGTAATACACCAGCAACAGCAGCAGGAGGAGCAGGAGGAGACAGGAACACAGCCGCAGCAGCAGCAGCAGCAGCAGCGGCGGCAGCAGCAGCAGCAGCAGAGGCAGTAGCCGTAGACCCATCAGCAGCTACCCTGCCAGTGGAGCAGCTGGTAACCCTTCTGAGTGCGCTGGTGGCGAGGGGCAGCGAGGGCATGCTGGCAGTGGATGCTCTGATCGCCTCTCTGCCCCCCGGCATGCTGGCCGACCTGGTCATTGAATTCATGCAGCACCTCCCTCCCTCTCCCCCTCCCGCTGCTGCCGCTGCCGGTGCTGCTGCTGCTGAAGGCGCTGCTGCTGGTGCTGGTGCTGGTGCTGCTGCTGGTTCTGCTGGTGCTGGTGGTGATGGTGCTGGTGCTGGTGGTGATGGTGCAGGTGCTGGTGGTGGTGGTGAGGAGGAGGGAGTGGTGGATGGTGATGGGAAGAGGGAGGCTGGCAGGGGTGGTGCGCGTCGCCATGACCCTCGAAGAGTGAAGGCCAAGGCAGAGGAGGCCACTGGTGCTGCTGCTGCTGCTGTAGCAGGCACTGTGAAGGATGAGCAAGGGCTACAGCCGCCGCTACATCCTGCAGCAGACAGGACAACAGATGCCACACGCCCCAAGCCAGAAGACGCAGGCTTGCAGACTGGCCTCCCTGCTTCTGCTGCTGCTGACACATCTGCTATCGTTCCTACTGCTGCCACCACCGCTGTTGCTTCTTCTGCTGCTGCTTCTGGTGTCTCTGGTGCGTTGGTGCCAGTACCCTCCACCCCTGTAGGTCCTCCAGCCGCCCCTCTCCCTCCCCGCCTTGCAGCCTACCTCTCGGTCCCACGCACCCCCGTGGCCCTGGTTCCACTCTCGCCGCCCCAGCTGGCTGCAGCTCAGCAGGCAGCAGTGTGCAGAGTCGTGGCGGGGGGTTGCAGAGCGGTGCTGCTGGGTGAAGCGGGGCTGTGGGTGGCGCTGCTGGTGGGCATGGTGAGGGGAGCAGAGGAGGAGGAGCAGCAGCAGCAGGTGCTGGATGCGCTGTTGAATTACCTGCTGGCAGACTACAACCGGGTCAAGGTGAGTTAGTGCTTGAGGTGAGTTGTGGGTTAAGTGTTTAGGGTTAAGGGTGAACGATGTATGATGCAAGCAGCAGCAGCAGCAGCAGGTGGTGGATGCGTTGTTGAACTACCTGCCAGCTGACTACAATCAGGTCACGCTGATCTGAGATTAGAGGTGAGTTGTGGGACTTGAGAGAGGCACTTTGAGATGCAATCAGCAGCAGCAGCAGCAGCAGCAGGTGCTGGATGCGTTGCTCAACTACCTGCTAGCAGACTACAACCGGGTCAAGGTGAGCGGAGCAGTGGCTGGCTGATGCAATGGTAGCCCACGCACCAGTGCATGGATGTGTTGTGTTGATCATTCTTACCTTGTCTACCTGCTGGCAGACCACAAGTAGGTCAAGGTGAGTCGTATCCTTAAGAATCGCCTGGAGGGCCCTCCAAGCAAGTCCGCTTCTCCACGCCATCCAGGTTCTTCCCTCTTCGTTCCCCATCCCATCTCCCCGTGAGTTTCGTGCTTCGCCCCACACCACGTCTCGCAGGTTGTGCTCTCCGTGCGGCGTGCTCTTACAGTTAACCACTCTTGGCCTCGGCCTTCCTTCTGAGAATTCCCAGAATCAATCTTCCCCTATCCGTTCCCCCTTTGCCACTTTTACCCATACCAGGGCTGACAGGTTGTGCTCTCCGTGCTGCATGCCCTGGCACTGGACCATTCATCCCCTCCCTCCTGAGAATTCCCATATGGACTATTTCTTACTCGTACCCCTTGCCCCCCGCCATTCCCGTTTCCCAACACACCAGGGCTCGCAGGTTGTGCTCTCCGTGCTGCATGCTCTCGCACTGGATCACTCTTCCCCTCCGCCCTCCTCCTCCTCCTCCTCCTCCTCCTCCTCCTCCAACGTCCCTGCTCTCCCTGCACCCCCACCAACGTCGTCATCACCCGCATCGGCACAAGATGCTTCAGCAGCAGGAGCAGCAGGAGCAGCAGCAGCTGGCGATGCTATGCAAGTGGATGGCAGGGGCCTGGGGGGTGCCACTGCTGCGGGTGCTGCGACTGCCGGTACTGCTACTCTTGCCACCAATCCAGCTGGCGGCGCGAAGGACTTGGTATCTCCTCAGATCCCTGCTCTCTACACGTCGTTCTTCTCTCGCGTGGTGAGTGCCCAATGCCCATCATCGAGTACCTCCATTCACCATCAAGCCCTCGTGCTGCATCTTCTTGTAAAGCGTCATTCCTTCCCCCCACACTCCCTCTCCATCACCTCGTTGATCCTCCCTTTCCTTCCCCACAAAAAAAAAACCCTTACTCTTTCCCCCATTCCCGTCCTTCCCCACTCATAACCATCTTGCAGCTGAAGTCCCTCCTCTCGCCCTCCTCCGCTGCTGCTGCTGCTGCACCTGGCGGGCTCAAGTCCCTCCTTCTGCCTCTCTTTGTTGAAGCGCCCTTCCTCCCACCCGTGCTTCTGAACCTGCTGGGGCAGGCGTGTGGGTTGGAGGGCCTTGGGCGGAGGGAGGGCGAGAGGGGGACAGGCGGAGAAAGGGGGGCTGGGGCTGGGAGAAAGAGAAGATTAGAAGAGAGGGGTGATGGGGATGAGGGGGAAAAGGCAAGGGATGTGGAAGGAGGAAAGGGGGAGGGAAGAGAAGGAGAGGCGGGAGACCGGAGAGAGCCGGGAGATGGGGCAGAGGGAGGGGAAGCGGAGCAGGACCCAGAGGGACCAAGGTCAGAGGAAGAGGTAAAGCAGGTGAAAGAGTCCCTCGTGGTGCTCTGGCGGCTGCTAGTGCTGCGCCCGCCCGTGCGCAGGAGATGTCTGGCCATGGCTTTACAGTGTGCAGTGCACCCGCACCCGGACATCCGATCCAAGGGCGTGGCGCTGGTGGCCAACCGCCTCCACGCCCTGCCGTACCTCACAGTGCCCATCGAGCGGTATGCACTCAAGCAGCTGCTGTCTCTGCCCACCATGGCTCTGCCGGCACCGATGCCGGTTTCTGCTGCTGCTGCTGATTCTGCTCCGGGTGCTGCTGGTGGTAATGCTGCTGCTGGGGATGCTGGTGGTGCTGGGGATGCTGGTGGTGGGAAGGAAGGAGTGGGAGGGGAGCAGGGAGGGGCAGCAGGGGAAGCGGGGCAGGCAGGCGAGGGAGGGGCGGCGGGGCAAGCAGGTGGGGGAGGGGGAGGGGGAGGTGCAGCGGCGCAGCTGTCAGGGGAGCAGCAGAAGGCAGTAGGGCACGAGGTGGAGAGGCGACTGGCGCTCTTCTGTGCGCTCTGCTCCCGGGTATGGCCCTTGTCTCGCAGCATCCTGCAGCCTTGTCTTGTTATTTTTCTCTCTCTCTCTTTTTTTTTTTTTTTTTTTTTCTTCCACCAAACTCTCCCGGGCCCACGCCACGATCACCCAGCTAGATTTGCATGTGCCGTTGCTCCTCGATTTGCATGTGCCGTTGCTCCTCGATTTGCATGTGCCGTTGCTCCTCGATTTGCATGTGCCATTGCTCCTCGTTGCGCTTCCTGTTGAGAGTGCACCACCCCGCTTGCTCACGTTGCCTTCCGCTCACACTCGCATCACCTCCCCTCTGTTTCTCCCATCCCTACTAGTGGATTTCTTCTGGGTGTTCGGGGCAAGTCAAACCCGTGGCCAAGGGGTTGACTTGATCCCAGTGGCCAAGTGGGTTATGTTTGTGTTGAAGGCATTCACCTCTTGCTGCTCTCCCTTCCGACGCTCCTCTCCTCCCCCCTGCCCCTTAACGCACCATGCAACAGAGACCATCTCTACTGGCGGATTTCTTCCGGGTGTTGGGGGCAAGGCAGTCCCGTGGCCAAGCGGGGCATGATGCCCGTGTTGAGAGCCTTTCACCCTTCCCCATGTTTGAACAAGTGTTTTGTGTTGAGACGTCTCCTTTCACACTTCTTCAAACCCGTGTTGAGAGCCTTTCACCCTTCCCCACACTCTCCCTTCCATTGCCTCCACAAACCTTCCACCCTGTTTTGCCCCCAACAGAGACCATCCCTACTGGCGGAGTTCTTCCGGGTGTTTGGGCAAGTCAACCCCGTGGCCAAGCGGGTCATGCTGCGCGACCTGCTGCCGCCCATGCTCGCCACACTCCCCCCCACCACTCCCGACCTCCTCACACTCATCTCCAACCCCCCAGAGGGCTCAATGCGCCTCTTGCTCAAGGTGGGTGGGGTTGGATGTGAGGTGGGCTGTATCAAAGATTTTTCTTCAGGCAATCTTGTGATGCTGCTGCCACTCCTTCTGCCGCCAGGCCTTGTCACTCTCCTTCCTAATTCCACTCTCACCCTCTAGTCACCCGTTTGAATCTTTCCCTCCCCCTCGGTCAGCTGCTGCTGCACTGTGTGGCCGACACACCATGCCCCTCCCTCGTCTCCGATCCGATCCACATCCCTCCATCTTTGAGTCGACTCAAAAATCGACTTATCACACACGGCTGCTGCTGCACTGTGTTGTGTGGCCGACACACCATGCCCCTCCCTCGTGTCCGATCCACATCCCTCCATCTCTTCCCCTGCCCCCCCCCACCCCCAACTCGACCCCGCCCCCTCCTCCAGCTGCTGCACTGTGTGGCGGACCCACCACGCCCATCCGCCCCGCCCCCGCCCTTGTTTTGAGGCGCCTCAAAACTAGCCTTCTCTTCCCCTGCCCCCCCCCACCCCCAACTCGACCCCGCCCCCTCCTCCAGCTGCTGCACTGTGTGGCGGACCCACCACGCCCGTCCGCCCTGCCCCCGCCCTTCATCGCTGCAGTCAAAACCCTCTCTGCTGCCAGGCCCGTTGTATGGTCCCTCTTGTCCTTATGTCTGGTTTGTTTTACTGGTATATTTACATGCTTGAAAGATTCACTTCTATTGAAGTGTGAACTGCCTTGTTGTTTTCTTCCTTCGTACCTTCACATCATTTCCTTTCCAACTCTCGCTGTATCCACAATATCCCCCCTTTCAACTTGTGTTTTCTCCTCACATCCTCCGCAAAAACTGCTACCCCCTTTCGCTCCGCCACTCCAGGAACCGGGCCGGAGCTCCTGATTCCCATCCTGATTCCCATCCTGATTCCCATCCTGATTCCCATCCTGCCCTTCCTCTTTTGAGACGTCTCAAAAGTCAACTCACTTCACACCGTCATCCCCTTGTCACACCACTTACGCCCCTTTCTCCCTGCCACTCCAGGAGCCAGAGCTCCTCATTCCCATCCTGCCCTTCCTCTCCAAAAACGAGGTGCGTTTCATACACACTACTGCAGCATTGCTCTGTGTGAACGTCAGCGTGCTGGTTTATTCTGAGGCGCCTCAAAATACACCCCAAGAACGAGGTGCATTTCGTACACACCACGCCACTGCACTGCAGCACTGCTCTATGTGAACGTCAGCGTGCTGGTTGTGGTGGTGACTGGGTGATGTGATGTGACTGCAGTGAAGCAGTTGTACAGATGTGACTGCAGTGAAGCAGTTGTACAGATGTGACTGCAGTGAAGCAGTTGTACAGATGTGACTGCAGTGAAGCAGTTGTACAGATGTGACTGCAGTGAAGCAGTTGTACAGATGTGACTGCGGTCAAGCAGTTGTACCGATGTGACTGCAGTGAAGCAGTTGTACCGATGTGACTGCAGTGAAGCAGTTGTACAGATGTGACTGCGGTCAAGCAGTTGTACCGATGTGACTGCAGTGAAGCAGTTGTACCGATGTGACTGCAGTGAAGCAGTTGTACAGATGTGACTGCTGCAGCCATGTGACTGACTATAATGACTTGCCGTTCAACAGCTATCCGTCCCTACTCTCATGCGGCCATGATGGCCTCATCCATCCTGCATTCCGCATTGCTCATGCCTCATTGTCATGCCTCATGCCCCATTGCCCCATGCCCCATGCCCATACCCCATTGCCCCATGCGTCATGCCCCATCCCCGTTGCCCCATGCCCCATGCCCCATTGCCCCATGCGTCATGCCCATCCCCGTTGCCCCATGCGTCATGCCCCATCCCCGTTGCCCCATGCCCCATACCCCCATTGCCCCATGCGTCATGCCCCATCCCCGTTGCCCCATGCCCCATGCCCCATTGCCCAATGCGTCATGCCCCATCCCCGTTGCCCCATGCCCCATTGCCCCATTGCCCCATGCATCATGCCCCATCCCCGTTGCCCCCATGCCCCATTTGCCCATGCGTCATGCCCCATCCCCGTTGCCCCATGCCCCATTGCCCCATGCCCCATTGCCCCATGCGTCATGCCCCATCCCCGTTGCCCCATGCCCCATGCCCCATGCCCCATGCGTCATGCCCCATCCCTGTTGCCCCATGCCCCATTGCCCCACACTGCGGCATGGCATCGTCGCCCTGAACACCACCATCCCCACCTGGTGCCAGGCTCTGGAGGTGTTTCCGCGCCTGCTGCACCTGCCTCTGGAGCTCTTCAAGATCGCTCAGGACCGCCTGCTGCAGGTGAGAGGAGTAGTGCAGCTCTCCACTTGTTTTCCAAACTCACTTGCTCCCACGGCTCACTCAACATGCCCCCACTGCTCGCAACAGTGGAGCTGATGATTACACTGCACACTTTTCTGCACACCCATCTGATTGCTCTTCTTTCTCCCTTGCAACCCATTCACACCCATCTGATTGCTCTTCTTTCTCCCTTGCAACCCATTCACGCCCATCTGATTGCTCTTCTTTCTCCCTTGCAACCCATTCACTCCCTCCCAGGGCTCCCCTCACACGCCGCCAGCGCTAACAGCAGTGGAGCTCATGACCACACTGCACGCTGTGCAACCCAAGAGGGACAACGTTCCGCTGAAAAAGGTGTGTCTGAGCTGAGTTTTGATAGGCTGCGAAACCAGATAACCGTTGTGCTGTTGCACTGTTGAGCGCACTCACCCTGCTTCCAGTTTCACCTTCCTCTAAATCACATCAACCCTTGTGCTGTGTGTGTGTCCATCAGATCATGGCGGTGTGTTCCTTCTGCATCTCGCAGCGCGCCATCTACACACAGCAAGTCATTGCCAAAGTGCTCAACCAGCTGGTAAGCTCTACGCTGGTCCTGCTGATATGCCCGCCCTGACGGTGCTTGGATGATTGTTTAGTTGACTTAAAAGTCATCTACACACAGCAAGTCATCGCCAAAGTGCGCAACCAGCTGGTATGCTCTCCGTCCTGCATCATTGACAAGAGTGCGTAAGCATATGCATTTCCGCAGACTCTTCTTGCGAATAACTGAATGCACCCTCCTCATCCAGCTGCTCTGCTGGGCATGAAGTTCTGCAGGTATTCTTTTGAACCAGCCGCTCTGTGGTTGCACCCTGGGTTGCGCCCTCGTTTGTGCCCTGGGTTGCGCCCTAGGTTGCGCCCCGGGTTGCGCCCTGGGTTGCGCCCTGGGTTGCGCCCCGGGTTGCGCCCTTGGTTGCGCCTCAATTGTCGGCACAGCCTCCTCATCCAGCTGCTCTGCTGGGCCTGACGTTGCGGGTGTTCTTTTCAAGTCGACTCAACAGCCATCTACGAGCAGAAAGCCATTGCTGCAGTCCCAAACCAGCTGCTTCGTGATGAGCCCTGATTTAGACGGGGACGTTGACAGAGGCCCTGGAAGACGGGGACCCTATCTATCTACCAGTGCCTCTCGGCATCCGACCATGTTAGATTTACCGAAGTAGCACATGACGACCCTTGTTTCGTTCTTTCCTGTTTTCTCTCTATTTCTTGCTTTCTTACTTGTCTTACAACAGGTCGGACAGACGCCCCTCCCCATGCTACTCTTCCGCACCGCCATGGAGTCTGTCGCAGCCTTCCCTGACATTGTCAGATCCGCACTGCCCTCCTCAATTCTCTCTGCACTGCCCTCCTCACTGCCCTCCTCACTGCCCTCCTCCTTGCCCTCCTCACGCCCTTCTTATTGCCCTCCTCACTCCCCTCCTCACTGCCCTCCTAATCTGTTGCACAAGTTTAAGATTCCCACATTTGTCTTGCACCCTGCTATCCCCTTTCACACCACCTTGCTTCTTTGTTTTTCTACACGCCGTCTGGTGAAGTGGGTCCAATTTGTCCCATTCCACTCTCTTTCTATGACAGTTGAGTGATACTGAATCAAATCTGTTCTTACCTTTCTCTTTCTCATCCACTCTCTTGTTTTGCTGTCTCGTGCCGTGTTATTGTTGCATGCAGGCATCGTTTGTGGCGGACATACTCTCGCGCCTCATAACCAAGCAGGTGAAATTGGAGCTTTGAGATGTGTCGATCCGCATTTGAAACGCATAACTGTGTGTTCCAAAAATCACTCATGCCACCTGATGCCGCCCCATGTCAGCTGACGCCACATCATGCTATCCAGTCCAGTGCCACCACATGCCATCTGATGCCATCTAATGCCATCGAATGCCATGTAATTCTGCCAGCTTATCCCTTCTTAAACTCACTGCCCCCCCTCCTGATCCACCCTGCAGGTGTGGAGAGCCCATCCACAGCTGTGGCTGGGCTTCATCAAGTGCTGCCTCGTTACAAAGCCACTCTCTTTTCCTGTCCTCCTACAAGTGAGTCCTCTCACCCTGCCACAGCTCTATTGCCGTCCTCTCCCTCGCCCTCTCCCTCCCCTTCGCCCTCACCCCCTCCCTCACACTCACCCTCACTCGCACCCTCACACTCACACTCTCCCTCACCCTCACCCCTCATGCTCACACTCGCGGACAACCTCGCCTGCTTCCCTCTCCCGATCTCCTCAAAATTCCGCTTGCCACTCTACTTCCCCCACTCCCTCCCCACCCCCGCAGCTGCCAGCAGCACAGCTGGAAGATGCGCTGAATCGAGAGCCGTCGCTCCGCCCCGAACTTGCTGCACATGCCGCACAACCATCCGTGCAGCCCTCCGTTCCCCGGTATGCACCCTGTTTTGAGGCGTCTCACAACAGATCTGTTTCCACCTTGCTGCATGTGATGCAACGCAACCTTTTGCGCGGTCCCCCGTTTTCCGGTATTCTCTCAGTTTAGAGAGCTCTGTGTATGTTTGCTTGATTGATTTGCAATGCTTTGTCTCATTTGTTCTGGTTCATGTTCAGAGCGTCCCTGGTCCTTCTGGGAGTCATCACACAAGATCTTGGAGACGCTCCAGCTGCGGGAGCTTCGGCAATTGCTACTGCTTAGACTTGCAGTCAGAAGTGGGAATGTAGAAGAAAGGTCCTCAATGCCTGTGGTGTGTCATTACGTGTCTAACAAATGTATGCTGGACATCATGGTGGGAAGAGATCCGTCTTTTTCACCCCACAGTTTACAGCTGTGCATGTATGGGGCGGCAGCTTACGAAAAGGAATCAATATTGGTTAGGACGAGCTTTTCTTCCACAAAGTTCTCTACACGGGTGCTATACTAATAAGTTTATATTAGCTGGCGGTGGGGAAATCAAACGCTCAAGGTGATGCACCCGTCAGTGTCATGCTGTTGTGCTAAATGTGGTGGGACAGGTTTTATTCTGGCACTGATGAGCAGATACTTTTCATGCTTGAAATTTTTTACACCTTGAGAACCAAGTAGACATTCACAATAATATACTCTAGGTGTTCAAACTTCAAGCATCCGCGAACCTGCAGGGAAACAAGAAAAAAAGGCATGAGCAACTGCGGAAAATAAGATCCTGAAGACCATGGCATGCATCCCACCCCATGTTACATATGGTTACACATTTGTGCCCTGCTCGTCCCCTTCAGTCTGCTTACCCGAGCTCAGATAGCCTTTGGTGGGCCGCAGCATAGTCAGCGAAGAAGGCATCCTCATCCTGTAACATCCCCAGAAAAACACAGATCGCAAGTGAGATTTGGAATGCGTTCACAATGTAAGCCAAGCAGGATAATGTTAGTTGCAGAATCACAACGCACCTTGGCATAGAGCTCAACATACTTCTTGAACTCAGCGTCCTCCACAAGGGCCTTGTCGCTGGGAAGAACCAGCAGACCCTTGTCATTGTCGCTCAGAAGGTTGCTGCAGTGGCAAACACCGAAGAATATGAACTCTCCTTGTCTGTGACTCCTACTGGGGAATTTAGAGATTCAATCACTCTGCTTGTCCACTTACACAAAATACTCGTTGTCGAACTTCAGGGGTTGCGTGGTCCACGGGCCCTCAAATCCTGACCTCTCCTTGTGGCATTTCCCCTGCCAGTGATAAACGGATCACATATTTAATTTGGCGTTTTCTCCATTTGGCTTCCTTGCAATGCGGGACGGATCTGCCTTCGGTATGACTCCCAGATTATCAGACCCTACTCACCAGGGTGTGAGCGCCAGAAAGAGCGACGATCTCCTTGTCGTTGAGGCCCATCTTGTAGAAGATGTCCCTCAGGTGGTTGGAGCCGCCCGTGGCGTCAGGTAGGCGGCCTTCAGGCGGGGCCTTCTCCTCATCCTGAGAGCATTCACAGCAACGAATAACTCTCAAGATACTATAGGAGCAATACATACGGGAAGATCACAATTATGGATACACATGGGATTCGCGGTTGGGTTTGTGCAACGTGTCGCTTACCTTGCGTCCGGGATGGAAGTCGATCTCTGGGCCTCCAGTGATCTCCACAGCGACGACTCCAGCAAGCTGTTAAAGAATCACATGGTTGAGACGCACACACCCAAGAATGTATCAGCAAGACTGCTGGCGGGTGGAGTCAATGAGTTGAAGAGCGGAACGAGTCAGTAGCACGAACCTGGTAGAGATCTCCGTAAGAGAGGATGTTGTACTTGGCCTTGATGGGCTCAAGGACGTCAACAGCCCACTTGAGACCAGCGTTCGCTCCGTGCGCCAGCTCCTCCGGCTTGCGGATGGTTCCGAAAGGACCTCCGGTTTTGTCCTTGACATCGAAAGTTCCAGCACCGTGCCAACTGCATGCAGATTCATCAACCGGGAGCACCGTCAACTTCTATATCTAACCTACGTCATTGGGTCTGCAAAACGTTCAGGCAAGAGAACCTTGATGATCAAACGTAATGGAATACTTACGCCAGGCGAACCATAATGGGGGCGCAGTTCTTCTCCGCGATGAGAGCCCTCAACTCCCTCTTAGCCTTGGTAACGGCCGTCTGGTACTCATCGCTGACGGTAGGGTATGACTTCGCCATGGCTACAGATTCTGTATATCTTACACGGGATCACGGAACCAGGAGCAAGACGCAGAAGAATGAAGAGCCAGGTTGAGTTCCAAGAATTGTTGATTCTGGCCAATATAGGCTCCACGAATCATCTCTGGCAATCAGGCAGAACAGGAAGGATTGGGAGGAGGAAATTCGGGAACAGTTAGTTGCGCAGACAAGGGCGGGGAAGGGAAGGTTGGGGGGAGGCGCGACAAGGTACAGTAGATGCGGTCGCCAGTGAAGATGGTCCAGGTCGGACGCCGAAGCAGACGCTCAGGCTTGGTTCGCGGTCGTGAATGACCCTCATACTGAAAGTGGCAGTGGCATCGATTGGAGGGGCGGTTTTGGGGAACAGGGTAGAAAGGCGGGGAAGTTGAGGGGGGCCCATGACGGGGGACAGGTCTGACTACACCCTCTTTCTCGCCATTGTGAATTCGGTTATGGTGAACTCAAGATGGGAAAAACACGGTTAACGGTGGTTAGATTAAGTCTAGGTATGGTTCAATCAGACAAATCGAAGGTAACTAGGTTTTCCATCAGTTCAGCACAGTTCAGTGTAGTGAGAAACAGGGTGTAGTACGTTTTTTTGTTTCGCGAGTGGGTGTATCAGTGGAAGGTTCGCGAAACACGTGGCTTGCCCTCTGTGCTTCGTATTTTCTCCCTCTGTCCGAGTCAGCGGAAGAAAGTCGGTGACCATTCACGTATGGCAAGATTCAACTTGAAACTCGAAATACGCTCTCAACGGGTATGCTTTGGACGCTCTTGGAGCAAGACATTTTCTTTGCCTAATGACTTTGGTACATTTGCTACTTCTTGGATTTTACATGGTTCTATGGTTCTGAAATTACCATTTCAGAACCAGAAGCAGCAGCAGACTGATCGACGCATTCTTAACTGGTACATTAATGTAATACCACATGTGGGCACATCGTATTTGGTTGGACATTCTCATATCTCACACAGATATAAGCTGAAATCGCATATAGATGCTTGGAGTACGTATATTCTTTTACTTGAAATGCTCATGACAAAAACTGGGTTGATTACAGAACACACCTAATGTTGTACTGTTTGTCGAATCTGAAACAAGCCCCCTATGATGAGAAGGCACTACTTAGGTATGAGACCACGTAGGAGATCAGCGTCAGCTGCAGATAAACATGTAACACAACACAGAGCAGACTTGTTATGTTACGAGAAAGCATTTAATGGGTGCCGGTCATGGAAATCTTTGCTGCAAATCATTGCAGACGAATGCAGCTCTGTTAGTGAACAGAAAAACGAATAAGGGGTGATGTGGAGGAAGGACTGAGAGGAAGGGGGTGGAGCGGTCGCGAATGGAGTGGTCACGAATGGAGTGGTGCGAATGCAGGAAAGAATCAAGGAGGGAGAGAGATGAAGGAGGGAGAGAGATGAAGGAGGGCAAACAAATGAGGGAGAGGACAAGTGATGGTAGGGAAAAAGGTTGGAAGAGGTTGAGGGACTGAGACAGGACAGAGGTCGTACGATCAGCTGAGGGCGGGGAGGATGGAAATGACACTTACAATGAGGAATAAATAGAATAGGTATCGCCACTTGGCATTGTCACAGACTGACAGGCGTCCCCTTACAAGCCTTCCCTCTGTTCTGCACGAGGCGATGATTTTGCCAATACACTCCCGCGTTGCCTGCGAGTTTGGATCTGAATCGTCCACCTGTAGTTCATGTGGGTGCGTGTGGGGGCGTGAGTTGGTGTGACGGGGATAGAATAGAGTTATGGAGGGAAGGTGTACAGGCCAGGGAAAGGGCCAGTACCCCCATTTAAAGATGCTGTGTGAGCAAGTGGCAGGGCAGGGTGTACCTTTTTCAGGATCTCGAAGCCAAAGTCTGTGAATGAGGAGCGCACGTCCGCCATGCTCCACGTCTGCTCCATCACCTTCGCCGCTAGACCTGCCCCCCAGGATGGGGTGTGGGGCGAGGAAGGGTGTGGCGCGACGAAGGGTATGGGGTGTGCAACGCAAAGGCACAGTGAGGGAGAGGTGAAGACAGATCCAGATGGGTGAGAGCCCCACGACTGTTACACACACACAGCCCAATGCGAAAGCGGAAGGTGAGCAGGGCATGGAAAACTAATGGAAGGAAAAAATTTCTGAAGGAAACACTAACAGAAACGTGAGAATCAAATGGGTACGACCATACACATGCCTTAGCAACGAGCGGTAAGGGGTCTTACGGTGACAGCACCTTTTCTCATCTTGACCACGCCTTGGAAGACGCCAATGTTGTTGTAGCACAGTGCGAGCGTGCCCATGGCCATGATCTGTGCGGGGGCGTGGGTGAGGGCAAGGGATGCATGCAAGTGTGAAATGGTTGAGACAACTAAAAGACTGCGAGGGCGCTGATGTTGTTGCGGCACAGTGCGAGCGTGCCCATGGCCATGATCTGTGCGGGGGCCGGAAGGCCAACGGACGCATGGAAGCAGCAAGACAGCTCTGAATCTGGGAACTTCTGGCGCATCTCACTTTCATGTGAGTTCAACTGCTATGATTGGCATGGGGGGCCGGGGCAGAGAGGGGATGCATAGATGCAGGGGATGGGATCATGCAGACATCGCAACATGCTACGATGGTTGCAGCGAAAGCATGAACGGGCAAGGGGGACATGGTTGCGTGTAAGCATGTGGAAGCATGACCACATGGAGCATCACCAAATGGGAGCATGACCACATGGGAGCATCACCAAATGGGAGCATGGCCGCATGGGAGCACAGCTTGTCAGCCATGGACTCGGGCATGCTGACCAGTCAGTGACAAACCTGGGGAATGCTGAGCTGTCATTCACTGACCTGGAGAACGCTGACCAGTCATTCACGGACCTGGGGAATGGCACAGAATCGGAAGACTTGCGGGTCTCGGAGGCGGTGCATGTAGGTGAGACAGTCGCTCACATGGCCCAGCGCGTTGGTCACCAGCTCGTTCACACACTTCACTGCCGCTGCTCCGTTGCTCTCCACATCCTTGAAGTCCTGTGAGGGAGGGGAGGGGCGGGAGAGGGACAGCGCAGCACAACAGTGGTCGAGTAGCTGTGATTCACAGTGAATCGCAAAGCGATTCACTGCAGCCGCTCCGTTGCTGATGCCAGCACCCTTGAAATTCTCGGTTGGAGGAATGACATTGCATGGATAGCCATGATACAAGCATGGAACACAGTGGTTGAGGGGGGGGGGGGGGGGGGGGGGGGGGGGTGAGTGGGGGGGACAAGAATGCAGGCGTATGGAAGGAGAATGCTTGGCATATCCCCTCCCAGAGCAGCTTACCTCAAGGCGCTCGGCGTGCTTGCCCCAGATGGCTTTGTGCTAGAACATGCGCAGAGCTTCTTTTTCCAAGGCGCCGTGAAAACAAATCAACCTGCTTAGCCCATTCCTTCCCACAGCACAGTCGCACTTGCGTGCACTCAGAATTCCTCCAAGCGTGACACAGATTTCCAAAGTGGCTCACCTCCAGGCGTGCAGCGTACTTGCCCCAGATGGCTTTGGGCCAGAACATGCGAGGAGCGGGCTCCTCTGTTATGTCCTCTAGATAGTCGCGTATGATGTTGGTCTTCTGTGCCGTGGGGACATGGGGAACATGGGGACGTGGGGGACACGGGGACATGCATGCATGCATGGGGACATGCACGTTTGGGGGCACGCACACACAGATGCCTCAAGCCGATGAATGGATGGATGGATGGACGGACGAAAGCATGGATGGATGGATGGACGGACGAAAGCATGGATGGATGGATGGACGGACGAAAGCATGGATGGATGGATGGATGGACAGGTCACAGAGGGACGGAAGGGCGGGTGGATGGACGGACGGGCGGGTGGATGGATGGATGATGCACGGATTGGCGGACCCCCCTGCAGGAAGAGGCCATGGATACTCCGCGATCATGGAAGACTTAGTGATCGCTTCTTCTAGGTTGGCAGCATGAAAGACTTCTGAGGCGCCTCAATGCCCCAGCGAAACATCATGTGAGGAACGGACAGACGGATGGACGAATTGACAGACGACGGAAAAATGAGGGAGGGAAGGACAAGTGGATGGATGGAGGGACGCAGGGGTTGGACCTGCAGGAAGAGGCCCATGGAGTTGGAGAGGGACTCCTCAAACGCTTCTTCCAAGTTGGCGGCATGGAAGAGGTCCGACAGCCCGATGCCCACCAGCCCCGCCACGTAGTGGCAGTACTCGTCGTACTGTGCCACTGTCTCCACCTGGGGGTTAACATGCGGGATAACATGTGGGATAGAGGTCGAGAGGTCTTTGGAGGCACCTCAAAAGACAGCCCGATTCCCACCAGCCCCGCCACATCGTGGCTGCATTCGTCGTACCTGCACTCGACGGTGACACCGTCTCCACCTGGGGGTTGACGTTCAGGGTAGAGGGAGGTAGAGGGGTAGAAGGCAGCGTGAGCTGGTGGCAGAGTTGGTTCCTGCACTGGAACACTGCCAACTGATCCTTCTCAACCGGGGGGCTGGGGCCTCCAGTTTAAGAAGGAAGGCGATTTGAGGGGTGAACGGTGGACACAGCATTTGCAGGGCAGAAGGACCAGGGTTCAATGATGAGGGAAGGGATGGGGGATTTGAAAGATAGGCGGAGAGGGGAAACGATGCATGCTAGAGCAGAACGAGACAAGGCCGTCGTTTTTTCACTTGCACCTCATTGCAGCTGCTGAGAGTGGCTGAGATTGGTTGAGAGGGGCTGAGAGGGGCTGACCTCGGTGGTGATGAAGGACGCCATCCCTGCTCCCATGCGCCTCGTTATGTCCAGAATCACTGCCTTGTACCTGCCACGGGTGGGTACATGGTTCAGGGCTTAGGGTTTGAGGAGGGGGAGGGGGAGGGAAGTAGAGGAAGGGGAGGAACGCGAGACGGGATGGGATGGGATGTGGTGGCGATATATTGCGAACCCCTACACGAGCTCCAGGATAGCACCTGAAGCGAGAACCTAGTGTACACCTTTTGAGACGTCTCAAAAGTCGTCCAGGATAGCACCTGAAGCGAGAACCTAGTGTACACCTTTTGAGACGTCTCAAAAGTCGTCCAGGATAGCACCTGAAGCGAGAACCTAGTGTACACCTGCTTCTAGCCTGGACGGGGGCCTGGATGGACCTTAACGTACGTGGGTCCTCGATTGTGATACTTCATCATTCCTGAGCTCCATATTTCCATTCCACACAATGGAAGGTGACACTACCATACCATCCAGCCTGGAATGGCCCGGATGCTGCAGCTCTTGTCTCGTCTTACCGGGGCTCCAGCTTCTCAAGAGCAGTCTCGTCTTAACGGGGCTCCAGCTTCTCAAGAGCAGTCTCGTCTTACCGGGGCTCCAGCTTCTCAAGAGCAGTCTCGTCTTACCGGGGCTCCAGCTTCTCAAGAGCAGTCTCGTCTTACCGGGGCTCCAGCTTCTCAAGAGCAGTCTCGTCTTACCGGGGCTCCAGCTTCTCAAGAGCAGTCTCGTCTTACCGGGGCTCCAGCTTCTCAAGAGCAGTCTCGTCTTACCGGGGCTCCAGCTTCTCAAGAGCAGTCTCGTCTTACCGGGGCTCCAGCTTCTCAAGAGCAGTCTCGTCTTACCGGGGCTCCAGCTTCTCAAGAGCAGTCTCGTCTTACCGGGGCTCCAGCTTCTCAAGAGCAGTCTCGTCTTACCGGGGCTCCAGCTTCTCAAGAGCAGTCTCGTCTTACCGGGGCTCCAGCTTCTCAAGAGCAGTCTCGTCTTACCGGGGCTCCAGCTTCTCAAGAGCGTGGCGCACGTGGTGCAGGCGCTGCATGAGGTCCTTGTAGTCCTTGCTGCCGCCTGGCGGGGAGATGGGGGGGATGGGGGTGAAGTGGAAGGCCGGGTGAAGAAAGGCGTTTGGTGTGCTGCCTGATGGGGGAAGGGGTTTGGGGGGGGGGGAGAGGAGTGAGGCGGTCAAGGAACGCAGTAGTCCTTCACTTCGTGCTACATGCTCATAACGCCACCGAGCGAGGGAATGCGTTTGAAGGGGGTTAGAATTCGTATACTCGTACTACTATTCTTCCTTGGTGGGGAAGTTGCGAATTGGAGTTGGGTTGTGCGAAAACAGGCCTACATACGTGAAGATGCGAGCGAAATCAGATAGCGTAGGAGCGTGTGGTTGGAGAATTCTCAGGTGCAAGGAGAGAGGGAGAAGGGTGTCTTGGGATGGGGTGGGGAAAAGAGGGGTTGTGGAAGATAATGGGGCACTGACAGACGAATTTCCAGTCGGGGTCGCAGATGTGTTGGTGGAAGTCGATGAGGATGGGGACCTTCTCGTCTATTGGCACTGCCATGTCGTCCTCTGGTGGGAAAGGGACGAGGAGATTGGGTTTGCGAGGTTGAGTGAGTGCGGAAGGGAGAGTGGTGTGGAAGGAATAGTGGTAATGGGTGTGGAAGGGGGAGTGGATTGGAGATTGGAGCAACAAAGTGAGGAGGTTTGGGGAGCGAGGGAGGGAACGAATGAATGCTGGTGGATGGGGGGATTATTTACAGCGTAAGTGGAAAAGAGTGAAGTGGATGGCCGAAGAGGAATGGGACATAATTGGACCTGAGAGGTGTTGTAGCAGCATGAATTGACGTAGTAAGCTAGCACCAACGCGAGTAAAGTCGCAGATGCAGGAACAAGGGAAGAGGGAACAGAGAAGAATTGACATTATTAGAGCGGGAAGTGGTAGAAAGAGAAGGCGCGGGTGAGAGAAAAGGTGAAGCGTACCGACTGTGTCGAGAGCGCGTAGGACGAGGTAGAAGATGCACACCTGCGGGGGAAAACGCGGAACACACGCTAGACTCATTCGCATGGTTCTCAATTGAGACATCAGTTGGTAACACTGATGTCTGCACTGGGAACTTTGAATTCTGAAACAGCATATAGTGATGTCATCATGATCCTGGCTCAGAGGATCCATACAAACTGGAATTTCCTTCATAACGTGTATAGTTTTGAAAGTTGAGCTCTGATTTCTACCATTCTAATCGTTGTTGCGAATAACAAATTTCAGTTAGGTCACATTCTCTTCGTTTCGTACCGGGTCGCGCAGCAGCGGGTGCAGCTGCTGAATGACGAAGGCGAAGCTTCTGCTGACGCGGTTGAGCATGCCGTAGCAGAAGGCGAAATCCTCGTCGTCGGGAAGCTTCGACACCATCTTCGCCATGTGCCGAATCCGCAGCAACGGCATGAACTCATCTGGATGACCCAGGATCTCCCCCACCAACCCCATGGCTGCTTCGCTGTGCTACCAAGAAAACCTCAAAATGTTGTGTGATTCACTGCTGATGCTCAGCCTAGAGAACGTAAATCGTAAGTAGTAATCGAAGAAGATATGTTACTCAAGTCTGTCGTCGTCAGTCCGACTCGTAAGAAGTGCAATCTCGATAGCGGCTTCAATGCAGCGCAAGTACCCTCTAGACTGAAAGCCTACTCGGACTGCATGAAGAATCTGATCTCCAGGAATTAGCTGGTCGGGTGTTTGAAGGCGAGAATGAGCATCAGTAACTTTCTCAAGTATTCAGGTCCACTGAAACACAAAGGTTCTGTAGCTTTCAGAGAGATATAGTACGTTTGTGATTCCCGAATAGTGGTACCTTTTGAACTTCGCCCGTCGTTGAAACCTCACATGTCACAACCAAGGCACAGATTTTCTGATGGTCCCCTCCTCACCAGCGGGATGGTTTCTCATCTCAGCCACAAACCGAATTGATTTGACTCAGGGCGTTGAGGCTTGGTGGAGTGGGGATGCGGTGATCTGGCACAGCGCGGATGCTGAGGAGGTGACCGCGCTAGTAGTCGGCAGCCAATGGTGTGCTGCCATCAAATTCAGGCACCTATACGCGAGATGAACTTTTATTCTGAAGGGTTCTATGTTTTGTTGATGTTTCTGAAAATATTTCACACTTCTAGCAGTCCTCCCTGAATTATAACACATGCACCAGTGCTGTTTAAAATACAAAAACAACACTAGATTGTAGGACCATTGCCCGCACAAGAAGTATATCACAACTAATACCCTGCATTTGGATGTGCCCCAGTGACAAGCCGCGTAATCTGTAACCCTCGGCTGAATGCTTGGTTGAACAGCACCTTGGTCTGCATGTCCTGAACCCCCGGAAGCCACGACAGCACCGCCATGGGCAAAAACACAATCACCCCAATAATAAACTCATAAGTCCTCGCAAAACTCTTCACAAGCCCCCACGTCCACCACGTTTCGACCGCTGGAAACGCCCCAGCCACCACCAGAGTCAGCTGCAGGAACCCCCATCCTGTGGGGAGGAATACCAGAGGAAGTAGGAAAACGTCTGAAAAGGAGAGTTTTGTGAAGGAGAGAGCAGTTATGAAAGCTGCGAGGAAGACGAGACAGATGGTGGTTTTGACAGCGCGGTGGAGGCGGTGGGCGCGTATGGAGAGGTAGAGGTCGCAGAGAGTGAGGGAGATCCAGAAGAGGCCCATTGCGAAGATGAAGAGCCATGAGTACACGTAGACCAGGATGCTCGTGCTCGCATTCGCCATGTCCAACTGGAGATTGGGTTCAGGAGATGTGAAAAAAAAGAGACAAAAAGCAGAGGTAAATGGGGCATGGAATCATGGGAGAAGGAGGAGGAGGGGGTGGGAAGGTAAGTGGGTGACTGTGTGCGTCGTGTGTTAGACGTATTACCTCATATATGCCATTACCAGATGATTGGTTTTCTCGTGGTACACGAGCGCATATTGGAAAAAGAGCCATCATGTGAGAGCATATTCGTGCCCAGCTTGGGAAACACCAAGTGAGGGCAGATCAACTTACCCGGTACACGAGAGCATACTGGAAGAAGAACCACCTCAATGCCAGCAGCGTCTCCGCAAGCCAGACTGTGATTGAGAAAGCAAGCTCAGACTTGGACTCACTATCAACTCAGACTCAGTCTCGAACTTACCCGGTACACGAGTGCATACTGGAAGAAAAACCACCTCAGAGCCAGCAGAGTCTCCACGATCCACCCCCCCCACCCCGTCGTCTTCAGATGCGCCCTCTCCTCGTCCCACCACGCCACCCACGCCTGCTTCTCCGTCACGCCCTTCCCGCCCTTGGCCCACAACCACGCAGTCCACTCCTCCCAGTCATCACAGCACTTGAGCCAGTCGAACCCCAGGGGGTTGAAGGCGAAGGGGGCGAGCAGCCAGGAGAGCACGAGGATCCAGGCGGAGAGGGAGAGCAGCCAGTAGGCGGTGGAGGCGCGGAGGGAGGAGTAGAGCATGTAGATGATGAGGCAGAGGAGGAGTTCTACTGCCTTGTTGAAGTGGCTGCGCGAGTACAGCCGGTAGTTCTCTGCGAATGGCTCGTGCTTCACCACAAACCCACGCCCTGTTGCCCGGTACTGAGGAGGCGAGAAGACGGGGAGGGAGGGGAGGGGAGGAGAAGGGAGCGGAGAGCGGGGAGGAGGGAGGGGTAAATTGGGATGAAGGTAAGATGGAAAGGGGAGTGCGCCTGTTTAACAGAACTCCTGAATGCATCATGCATGTCCCTGTTCAGAGACTTCTCGAACCTTCCTCCATGCATGCCCATCCCACCTTCCTCCATGCATGCCCATCCCACCTTCCTCCATGCATGCCCATCCCACCTTCCTCCATGCATGCCCATCCCACCTTCCTCCATGCATGCCCATCCCACCTTCCTCCATGCATGCCCATCCCACCTTCCCCCATGCATGCCCATCCCACCTTCCTCCATGCATGCCCATCCCACCTTCCTCCATGCATGCCCATCCCACCTTCCTCCATGCATGCCCATCCCACCTTCCCCCATGCATGCCCATCCCACCTTCCTCCATGCATGCCCATCCCACCTTCCTCCATGCATGCCCATCCCACCTTCCTCCATGCATGCCCATCCCACCTTGGCCCAAGCACGCCCGTCTCACCTTGGCCCCGCCATGCATGAGTGTGCGCAGGAAGTAGTGAGCGCGCGTGCCGAGGGAGAAGGTGAAGAAGGCGAAGCAGAGCTGCACGTGCATGAGCAGGAACTCCCATATGGCTGCCCCCGTGCCCTTTTCCAGTATCAGCTCCATTAGCATTGGCAGCGACGTGAATAGCCCGATCTGAGGAAGGCAGGCAGGAGAAGAAAGGAGGAATGTAATTCGCATTCATTGGCATTGGCAGTGACATAAGGAGGAAGGTCCGAGGAGAGGACGGGTTTGAGGAAGTGGAGAGGCAAACGAAAGGAGGAGTGCCTGTGCTGTGGGCATCCAGTCATTTGGCGAATGTTATTAGTGAGCATATTAGCACGGACATGAAGAGGCCAATTCAGCTTCACACTGAAAGGGGAACCTTTTTGTGGGTCGTTTTTGAGAATTCTCAGAAGTGGCTTACTGATCAACAGCGCACTTTTGAGAATTCTCAAAAGTATCTCACATACCTACTGCCACCCACAACACACCTGTACGAGGAACTGCTGGTTGATGGCGGCAGATAGCGCCTGGTTGTCCGACGACGAAATCGTCTCTTCCACGCCCGACAGCACCAGATAGCACCTCCCCCAGAGGAAGGCGTACACAGCCATGGCGGTGAGTGCAGTGCTGAAGAAGAAGCCGATGGAGGTGGTGTAGAAGGAGAGCAGGCGGAATATGTCCAGCCCGTGGCCCAGCCGGTACACGTCCCGCGACAGCAGCTGCTCTCCATTGCCGCTTGCTACTTTGGCCTCAAAGAGAGAGATCTGGTTCAAACCCACATCACGGCCCTTTCCAACCTGAAGATGGAGGGAAGAGGGAGTTGAAGGGGGGGAGAAGGGGCCGTGTGTACGGAAGCATGGGTGTTGGTTCTTGAGGCGCCTGGAGAGGGGAGAGCAGAGTAGAGTGCCGAAGAAGGTGTAGGTGGTGTATTAGAAAACCCCACTTAGGAGGCAGGGCATTGCGTGGCAGCGGCTTTGAAGAGTGCTGAAGAAGGTGTAGGTGGTGTAGATGGAGAGGAGGCGGAAGATGGAGAGGAGGCGGAAGATGGAGAGGAGGCGGAAGATGGAGAGGAGGCGGAAGATGGAGAGGAGGCGGAAGATGGAGAGGAGGCGGAAGATGGAGAGGAGGCGGAAGATGGAGAGGAGGCGGAAGATGGAGAGGAGGCGGAAGATGGAGAGGAGGCGGAAGATGGAGAGGAGGCGGAAGATGGAGAGGAGGCGGAAGATGGAGAGGAGGCGGAAGATGGAGAGGAGGCGGAAGATGGAGAGGAGGCGGAAGATGGAGAGGAGGCGGAAGATGGAGAGGAGGCGGAAGATGGAGAGCCCTCCCTCGTCCCTTTCCTTGCTGCATCATACCGTCCACAGCCCTTCATCTCACCTGAATGTACTCGTGGTGCGAGATCGCCCCACGCCTCAGAGTGGTGTTGAAGCCTGCAAAGATGTCTTCACTGATGTTGATCACTCGCGACGCCTTGCTGATGCCACCCCGCGCCAGCGACCACACGCGGTCAAACACGTCCGGATGCCCGTAGTGCATTCGCACCTGGAGAGGTGTGAGGGGTTGTGAGGGGGTATGAGGGAGTACAAGGGGGAGAAGGCACTTATGGGTGGGGTGCAAGCGACCACACGTGGTCAAACATGTCAGGGTGCCCGTAGTGCAATCTCACCTGGAAAGGGGGTGTGAGACAATACGAGGGGGTAAGTGGGGGTATGAGGGGGTATGAGAGGGTGCGAGGCGGAGAAGGAAGGTATGGGTGGGGTGCCAGCGAGTCAGCAACCACATGCTGGGGGAAGATGGGAGCAAGGAGAGGAAATGACCACACACTACCCGTGAACACATGCTCCTTCATCCCCAGAATCACAACACGAGACAAGCCAGCAACACACCTTCAAAGGGTTGTACAGTACGCGCTGCCCAATGGTGACAAACGCTGTCTCCTGAGCCGACATGAACGCCGCCAGAGACGACACACTGCCCGTGAACACATGCTCCCTCATCCCCAGAATCCGTCTTCTCGACTCCGAAAACTCCTCCAGAAAGTTTCGGATCTTCAGCGCCTCCTCCAGATAGCTGTCCTGGTTCATGTCGATTGTCTGCAGCGCCTCCCCACGCGTGAAGATGATGGCGTGGTTCTGGTTCTCCGGCTTGCCCTCGCCGATCTTGATCGGGCCGGGTAACTGCACGCGGAAAATCTCCACCTCGCGCTGATTCCACTGGTCCCACTTCACCAGGACGGAGTAGTACCGAGTCCCGCCGCCCGATCCCAGGGCGGGCGGCTGCTCGTCCACGTACGCGATTCTGAGCGCCGGATTCTCCTGCATGAGCTCCAAAACGTGCCGCGCCTTTGGGTCGTTCTTGCGCTTGTGCTCGCCGTAAATCTGGCACGCGACCACATACGTGAACTTCACGTCGGCGAGAGAAAACTGGGGGTCGTACTCCCGCTGCTGCCCCAGATGCTGCGAGATCTGCTCCCGTATGTGCTCCACCGAACCTTGGGAATCCCACCCCGCGTCTGGCATCCTCCCGCTGCCACCAAAGGCGGAGGCGACGGCGGCGGCGGCGGCAGCGGCAGCGGACAATTCTTCGGCGGGAGGGGCGGCGGTGGGTTGGGGCTTGGAATGAAGCTCACGGCCTTGGGAGGGAGGGGCGTCTGGGTCAGTGTCGAAGTAGGAGAGCAGGTCCAGTGCCCTGTGAGGGGGAGGGAGGGGGGATTGGTGAAATGGTTGGTGTGGGTTTTGGGGGTGAAACTTACGACCCTGTGAACGAAGCACAGTACATAATGATAATAGCATATGACTGCACCGAGTGCGTGAGGATGCCCGGTGCCACCTAAACACCTTTCACATGATGCCAGCACGCACCTGTGGTAGTACATGATGCCGCGCACGGTGCGAGCGAGGGTCTGTCCGCGGTAGGAGGCCCATCGGCACACCTCAGCCCCATCGTCAAACTCCCACACCTCCCTGCCTCGCACCCCCAGCCGTTCCTCCAGGTTCTTCCACTCGTCTGCAGGAATAGAAGGCAGCAGAGAAGCTGTTATCAAGCAGCTGGGATGGGGGAACAAGTCCAAAGGGCGACCCATACTTTCACACTCTCTGCGCCTCACACACACAGTTGTGCCTCCGATTTCTTGAGGGACTCTGAAGCCCAGAGGCAGTATACTGCATAGCAATCCGGGAGACATGCGCTGAGCATGAGGAGACTCGTTGTACTACGGCATCGTGACACAGAAGGACCGCATTCGCTGCACCGTGGCTGGAGTTTAGGTCGACCGACAACATACCCGGGAAGATGTTCTGGAGGTAGTAGAGAAGAGAAATGCCGTCCTCGTTGGGCCGCCTGAGCTCATCCGGTGAGTACATCACCGACTCGTTGTAATACGGCGTCATCACACAGAACGACCGCATGCGCTGCACCGACGGCGCGGGCGGCATGGCCATGAACAGCGAGTTGCAGAAGAACGTAACCCTCCTCCTGGCCTCGGGATTCGCAGGGATGGTAGCCATGGCGTTCTGGCAGGTGAGCAGGGAGTGCAGGCGCTGCAGCGGGGCGAAGTAGGTGGGATCGGAGGGGTCGGGCATGCGGATGGCGCCCACGTAGAGCGGCGAGGCAGGGGGGGTGGAGCGCGGGATGACGCCCTTGGAGAGCAGGAGAGAGTAGTTGCCGGCGCTCCAGAAATCTCTCACGGCAACCTCGTGCAGGTTCTGCACCAGCATGATGGCCTGGCGGGGTGGGGGAGGGGTGGGAGGTGGGATTGGGAGTACAGAGGAGGAGCAGGTGAGCAGGGAGTGCAGGCGCTGCAGCGGGGCGAAGTAGGTGGGATCGGAGGGGTCGGGCATGCGGATGGCGCCCACATAGAGCGGCGAGGCGGGGGGGGTGGAGCGCGGGATGACGCCCTTGGAGAGCAGGAGAGAGTAGTTGCCTGCACCGCTGGCAGCTTCCCCAAAGTAAAAGTAATGTTTTTTTAGAATTCTCAAAAGTCATCCACAAAGTCCCTGTCCGTGTGCGCCTCCGCTGCTGCCCCGCTGGCTGCACCGCCAGCCTCCGCCAGCAGTTGCTGCACCATGCGGTGCTCAACAGCTCAGGAGTGCTGCCTCTGCTGCAGCAGTAGCAGTAGCAACAGCAGCATACAGTAACCTGACCTGACCTCGTACGGATCCAAGCTCCTAATGAGCTTGAGAGAAACCTCACCTTGGGAAGTTCTTCCTCGGTGGGTCCCCCGAGCAGGAACGCTGTGAGCCACCAGCTTGGCCTGCACGGCGGGCAGCTTCCCCAGGTTGAAGTCGTCCACAAAGCTCCTGTCCGTGTGCGCCTCCGCTGCTGCGCCACTTTTTGCACCCTCTAGAGAGGCGACTCACCTTGGGAAGCTCTTCCTCCGTAGGGCCCCCAAGAAGGAACGCTGTGAGAGCAACCAGCTTGGCCTGCACGGCGGGCAGCTTCCTCAGGTTGAAGTCGTCCACAAAGTCCCTGTCTGTGTGCGCCTCCCCTGCTGCGCCACTTGCTGCACCGTCGATCTCCGCCAGCAGCTGCTGCACCATGCGGTGCTCTGGCGTGCCGGCGATGAGCAGGTGGGAGAGCAAAAGGCGGAAGAGGGCGAAGGTTTCGAGCACGGCGCAGCGGCAGAAGTCGGAGGAGCAGAGGCGGCGCCAGAGGGACGAGGAGGAGTTCTTCCACCTGCCAGCGATGGTCGTGGCCTTCACCACCTGATGGTATGTGGGTGTAGGGAGAGGAGAGGGTGGAACACGTGGAGAGGGTGGAACACGAGGAGGAAGGAAGAAGTGCGACGTATTGCGCAGATCTTGAGTATTACAGCACCGCGCACGCGCCATAGCTGGGCAACGAAATAAACACAAAGGGTCATGCAACGATCCATTACAAGCACGCGGAGCCTGGTCTTGCGATAAGCACGCTGAGCCGTACCTGATCGGCCAGCAGCACGATTAGCCAGCGCGAGACAGTGGCCGTGGTGTAGGCCTCGAGGATAGAGAGGAGGTTTTGAGTCAGGGATAGAGAAGAAGTTTTGAGTCGACCAAAAACTCGTTTAATCTTACGCTGAGCCGTACCTGATCGGCCAGCAGCACAATGGGCCAGCGGGAGACAGTGGCCGTGGTGTAGGCCTCGGGGATAGAGAGGAGATTCAACTCGCTGTGGTGTGGCACATGACATGAGAGGGGCCAAGGCCGGGGGGAGTGGGACAGGAAGGAGGAAAACAGGGGGAAGTGGAGAAGGAGGCGAAGAGGGGTTGAGAAAGTGGAGAGTACTAGTTTGATGGCTCATGGTGCCTCTGCACGAGCGAAACTAACACCTGTCCGTCCCACAATCTCCTTTCTCCCACCCAGTCCCCCCTCCCCCCCACATCCAAACTCCCCCTCTTCCCCGTTTCCTCCGGCCACTCATGGATCGGCCAGGAGATCCTATTCTCTCCCCACTCCACACAAACTCCCAATCCCCTCCCCACTCCCCGATCCCTCCCACTCAATCCTCAGACAGGAGGTCCTCTTCTCTCATTTCCCACCATTCCCCTTCGCTCCATTTCCCCCATACCCCCCTCTCCCTGCCACTCACGCGTCAGACAGCAGGTCCTCCTCTCTGAAGCTTTCAATGACGCTGTTCCACAGCACCACCCACCGCTCGTCCGTCTCCTGCACGAGAAGACACATACAGAGACAAACAACGCCGACCATTCATTCAATTCAAGCAGCCATGCGAAAACCCTTGCGTAGGACACTTGCTCGTCTAACAACCCTTGCGAGATATGTGAAAGTCCAGGGTAACCAGTTTTGGCATTAGGCATCTGACCAATCAAACGCACCCAGGTGTCTGGCGAGACGAGCCCGTAGGTCATGACCATGCGGTTCCACATGGGAGTCATGGTGCTGCGCATGCTGCTGAGGTTACCACTCATGTGCTGTGAATCTACCCTGTTTCAGCATGAGTAGTTGTTCATAACACACAAACGCACCCAGGAGTCTGGCGAGACGAGCCCGTAGGTCATGACCATGCGGTTCCACATGCGCGCCATGGCGCTGCGCATGCCACCGCGGCGTTGGGCGTTGGTGGAGGGCGGCAGCAGGTTGAGGTGCATGGCGCGGGGCAGGAAGCGGAAGCGCAGCGTGAGCAGCTTCACGTGGCTCACCTGTGAGAGGGAGATGGGATGGGGGGATGGGGAGAGGAGAGGGGGAGGCCATGGCATAGTGGAGCGGGGAGGAGGGGCAAGAGTGGACGACAAAGGCAGCAGGTTGAGGTGCATGGTGCGGGGCAGGAAGAGGCAGCGCAGCATGAGTAGCCTCACGTGGCTCACTTGTGGAAGAGGGAGGTAGGACATGGTGGAATATGGGAGAAGGGTGAAGCATGGTGAAACATTCACACGGCTGGACCTGAGCAGTGGGAGCGTGTCATTTCCCTGGCAAACACGAATCAGCTATCATTCAACCGAAATCAGACGACAGTAGGCTCTGGGACGGGGATGCCTCGCATGCATGCAGTGTACCTCTATCCCTCACGTCCCCCTTACACACCTCCCCGATATGAGCAAAGACACCCATGATGTAGCCCACAACCGAGGAGAAAATGGCGTAGAATATCTGAAGATCCATGATGTAAATCTGCACAAGGGCATGGGGAAAGGACATGGAGAAAGTGCTTCAGGTGCAGACATGCTTGGCCTTCCTTATTATCCTCACAGGAGCAGAGAAAGAAGCGGGATGGAAGAAGGATGTGGAAGGGTTGGTGAATCGGTGAAGGAAGATTGGATAAAGAGTAAGTGGGAGACACAAGGACGTACGTACCACACCAACTGGTGCCCAGAGCCAGAAGACAGCGACGTAATTGCCTGTTGTTAGCACAGCGAGAAGCACGCACATACATACATGCGCACACGCGCACATGCACACATGCACAAGCACACATGCACACGCACACACACACCAGCACACATGCACACAATTCAAAAGCAGGCAGTGACTAAGCTATTATTCACACACCCATGGGGACGGTACCCACGCATTTAGGATAGGATGGTATGGGACGGGGAGGGATGAGATGGCAAAGGGTGGGATGAGATGGCAAAGGGCGAGATGAGATGGGATGGGATGGGATGGGATGGGATGGGATGGGATGGGATGGGATGGGATGGGATGGGATGGGATGGGATAGGATGGGATGGGATGGGATGGGATGGGATGGGATGGGATGGGATGGGATGGGATGGGATGGGATGGGATGGATGGCATGACATGCGGTGGGCGCGCACCTGATTTGTAGAGCTCCGGCCAGGTGTAGTGGATGGTTGTGTTGAGCAGCGCCTTGGTGGGCTCCACCATAGGCCGGATCTGCATGGGCGAGAGGAGAGGGGAAGGGAAAGGCGAAAGGAGAGGGGGAGAGGGTGAGAGGAGAAGGAGAGAGGGGGAGAGGAGAGGGGCAGAGGGGGAGCGGGGGAGATTGTGAGAGGGGGAGAGGGGGAGAAGGGGAGTGTGGGAGAAGACGAGAAGGCTAGAAGAAATGAGGAGGAAGTGATGAGAAAAGGGAAGGGGCAGGGTGAGAGGAGAGAGGAAGAAAGGAATGAGACAGTAGAGCTGAATCAAGAAGACGAAACAGGTTGGGAGGAAGGGTGGTGGAAAGGAAACAGTAGAGGGGAGAAGAAGAGGGAGATAAAGAAGGTGGACGAAGAGACAGGGGCACACCACTACAGCTTTGGCTCACCAAGAGGAAGTAGCTGAAGGCGAACTTCCCAGCGAGGAGGAGGAGCCAGAAGATGGAGTACCTGAGACAGACCCCAGCAGCAACGGGTGGGAGAAGAGGAGAGGACAGGAGAGGAGAGACAGAGACTATACAGGGGGACCTTCGCCAAGGAAATTGCAGGCACAGGCACGTGAAATGTCAAGTGCAAGAAACAGCAGCAGGCACACAGAACGCAGGCAGGCAGGCAGGCAGACAGGCAGGCAGGCGGGCAGGCGGGCTGGACAGCAGGCAGGCGGGCGGGTAGACTGGCAGCCAAGCGGGTAAGGTGGAAGGCAGGTGGGCAGGGAGGCAGAAGATTGACGGGCAGGTAGGTGGGTGGGTGGGTGGGCGGGCGGGCGGGCACATACTTGATGGAATCCCATGTGTCTTCACGCATTCCCCTTCCCACAAAGTTGTCATCCTGATAGAGCCGACAGATGGATGGAGGAAAAGACGCAGATGGGTACATGGGGGATAAGACACAGAGAGGATAATGGTGAATGGTGTGCATACCTACACAAACCCTCGTTTGTGCTGAGATTGAAGAGGAACAAGCCAGCAGCCTGTCCAGCAGCCATTGAGGCAGGTATGTCAGCTCAAAGCATGTGATGAACCCGTGGACGGGCAGCAATCATGACCTCACCTCGAGGCAGGTGACAAGCATGTGAATGAAGGAGGATCTGGAGGCCAGCCATCATGCGGCAGCTTTTCAGCCGTTTTCTTTTTGGTTTTTTTGGCGACTCAAAACAGCCCCTCCTCGCCTCAACGCATGTGACGAGCACTTGTTCCACCTCAAGACAAGCAAACCCCCCCTTTCTCACCTCGAGGCAGGTGACAAGCATGCGGATGAAGGAGGAGCTGGAGGCCTCCACACAGTGGCTTTAGAGTCGACTCGGAACCCCTTCCCGCACCTCAAGGCACGTGACAAGCAAGTGCCTCACTTCTAGGCAAATGGCCCTTCGTTTTGTTCTCACCTCGAGGCAGGTGACGAGCATGCGGATGAAGGAGGAGCTGGAGGCCTCCACGCGGCGGCTGATTTCAGGCGTGAGGAAGAGCAGGATGCCCAGCAGGTGCGGGGTCATGAAGACGAGCGCTGCTATGAGGAACGTGAACAGAGCTGTGTTGGCTGTGGGCGACCAGTAGGTGGCTGCCTTGCGTGCATTCCACATTATGCTGGGAGAGGGTTGAGTGAGGGTGCGCAAGGAGGAGGAGGGAAGAAGAGAGAGCAGAAGAGGGATTCTCATAAATGGTGGGACAAGGGGGGAGAAAAGCAGGGAGCGAGGGTTTCTGACTTGGGTTGTCTGAAGGTGGGTGCGGGGAATTAAGAGCAAATGAGAGGAGGGAGGGGGAATGGAAAGGCAAGAGGGGTACATACAGGTGAAGAGAGATACATGAAAGTAGAGAGAGGTACTTACAGGTAGAGGGTGGTGAAGACGATGCACCAAGCGATGGCAACGAGGAGGCGCAGCAACAGGCGGACGTTGAAGCGCATGTTGGAAGGGCGGATGAGACGCCACTCCATCACCATGTCCGCCAGAGCTGCAGGTGTGATGGAGGGGAGAGGAAGAAGGTGGGGGAGGGACAATGTTGAAGCGGATGTTGAAGGAGGGATGAGACGCCACTCCATCACCATGTCTGCCAGAGCTATAGGTGTAATGGTGGTGAGAGGAAGAAAGGGGGTGAAATGAGCAAAGAGGGGGTGGGGAGGGACATAGAGGTGGGGCCGAGGTACAGAGAAGGCAGAGTGGGACATGCAGACAGGCGCAGTGGTTAGTACAAGAAGCGCCGTGAGACGGAAAGAGCTCGTGTTGCAATGCCTTGAATACAGCACATACAAGCCACTCTAAGATGCACTTCAAACTCGTCACGACGCACCACTCTTACTCCACAGCATCGCAGAGGCAACGCATACCACCACATACCACCGCGCAGCACCGCCTCTCACCAAGGAAGAGATTGATGCCGGCCCATGTGATGAAACAGGTGAGCAGCAGCGCCACAGTATCTCTGTCTCCGGCCAAGTACGTGAAGGGGTTGCTGTCCTCCGCCTTCCATGCCGTGATGAACATCAGCTGGCGCACAGGGGGGCAGGTAGAGCAGCAGGTATTGGGCGGCCGACAGTGAATCGGAAAGGGCGGGGAGGAAGCGGGGAGAAGGGGGAAAAGGGGGGGTGGGAGGTGAGCAAGGAAGCAGAGAAGCGGAAGGTAAGGTTATGACATGCATGAGGATGGGATGGGCGGGCCGGAGGAAATGCCAAGATAAGCACCTGGAAGGCGAAGATGAGAAGACTTCTTTTTGAGGCGCCTCTTTTTGAGGTGCCTCAAAAATAGGAAGTGCTAAGAGAAGAACTCACCTGGAAGGCGAAGATGAGGAGAATCCAGACGCGGTCGAAGCTGCGGAACATGTTGAGGATGGTGCGCTGCTCCACAAAGCCCGTCTTGCCACCCTCGTGGCCCGTCTTGTTCTGCACGTAGGTGCACAGGAGCAGAGCAAGACACATCATGACATAGACAGCGCCGTGTGCGTTAAACATGCTGAGGATGGCAACAGGAGGCACACGAGAATGTGCGATTCAACGGAGAGAGCACCACCAGCATGGTGTCGTGCTTATAAAAGCAGCTTACCGGAGGGTTGGTTATAGCGGTGGTACAACAAGACAGAAGTACTGGCGGGATGGGAGGACAGCAAGGCAGACAGGGTGAAGGAAGGAGGCGGCAATACCGGGGGGATGAAGAAGACAGCAGACTGGTTGGGCGGCCACGAGAGGCGGTCGAAGCAGCGTGGCGACCAGAAGAACTCGTTGAAGTCGTCGTAGTTGCGCCACTTGGCGTGCGGCAGCTTGCCACCCACATTGCTGTCCGCCTCCTGGTATAGGGGGAGGGGAGGGGGGCGAGAGGAGAGGGGAGAAGGGAGAGGATGGGAGAGGGGAGATGGGAGATGGGAGACACGTGCGTGGTTTGAGTGCTGAGTGCCATGCACAAGATGAAAGATATGAGAGAAACGACGAATGGGAGAAAGGGAGGGGAAACAAGCAACACAGTAGTTGGATTGACTCCCAACGATTAACTGCTGGGGTGTTACAGAGTACACAGCCTCTGAAACAAAGTTCACAGGGCTTACTCCTTTAATCGCATTGTAGAGCGGCTGAATGATGGTGTTGAGGAACCCGTACGGCTGGCTGGGAATGCTGCGGTCGCGAGAAAGAGCCCTGGCGGACTGGGTCATCAGCTCGTTCGTCTCTGTTGCGAGCTGGGAGGGCAAGGGGGAGGGGGAGGGGAGAAAGAGGAGAGTAAGTGGAAAGAAAACGGACGCTTGTTGGCTTCTGTAGCAGCATGAACTTTGGGTGTAAGGGCCGAATGGTGACGACGACCCCACAGAGAGATCTGTGACTGTGAGACGAGATTTCTCATTAGCTGAACTTTCTCACTTGGCAGTGGAGGAAGGTGTGAAACAAACTGGGACATGCGTTCACATGATGAAGGTGGAAAGCAGGCTCTCACATGGTGGAAAATGTAGCAGAGGCACTCCGGGAGGAAGCGGACGTTGGCTGCCTCGCCCCATATGAGCAGGAAGAGGGAGCAATAGACTATATCGGTGCTGCCCGTAGGGGGGGATGTCCTCTTGCGACCAACCAGAGCCGAGTCGTCACTGGATTGGAGAAGCCACAGGGAGAGTGGCAGGAAATGGGACCCAGAGCCATGATCGATATAATGCGAGGCCTTGAAAAAGCAATGGAGGGATGTGAAATAACTTGCTGCTTGTAAGAAAGAGTGCATTAGCATGGACAAGCCCCAGCAGAAACTCACGAAATTTGTGGAAGGTAAATCCGCATGCGTTGAGGGGGTGACGGATGTTAACACGTGACACGCAAAAGACATAACATAACGTGACAATACGGAGACTGACTGACATGATGCTAGTTTTCTTGCCAACGTATGTGCACCAGGACTTGTAGTTGCTCAACAGCTGGTCGCACACCAGCGTGATCACGTTCGGGTCAAGCTGCAGCAGAGGAGTTAGCAGGGAAAGACGTGGCAGCTTTCTCAGTGGATGGATGAAATGTTGCATGAAATTTAATCAGACATGCCTTGCAAAACAACTCTAGTCATCGAAAGGATCCATTGCTCATTCACACATACTAGACGTTCAGTGTTCGCGGACTGCCAAGAGTAACCCCATCGGCTAGCTGTACCCTGATGGCCCGGTTCATCTAAAATCCATGCATCAAGACACTGCAAACGTTGTCCTTTCAACGCTTCGCATGAAGCAACGCTGGGCAAATCAAATCAACCTCGCGAGATGCATGTGAGCGTACCAGAGGCTCCGCTTCAAGGGGATCCAACGGCCGAATTCGCATCTGAGTGTTGGCTAGCAGAAGAACCAGATGCTCCCTCTGGTTGATAACGTTACCAGACTGCATGCGAGCATACGAGCACAGAACACAAATAGAGGTAGAACGCAAATCCTTCAAGCATGTCGAATATCTGTACCGTCACCACGTCTTCAGCAGCATTATTAGGTCAGTGCTGTCAACAGTGAACCTAACCAGATCGTCTCAAGCAACATTGAAAATGATGTACCGTTGGAAGTCAGTACGAAAATTGTGCGTATCAGCGACTAGACCGAGAAAGCCATTCAGCTGTCAGAAGCGCAGCTCACCTGAAAGCTGAAGGCGTTTTGAAGGCAGTCCAAGACGTCGGTCGGCGGATTGCCTCGGTCGTCGGTCCATCCCAAGCTCGCACCGACCCTTCGAAGAGCTCCCACTGCAGCTCGCACCTGAAATGATTATTTTCGTGACGGTGATATGGGTTGATTTATTTGCAAACGACGACAGCCAGCGGTATAATGGAGCCAGACCATAAGCACTTGACGTATTGCTTTGCATTGCGTGCAGCGTCACGGCAACAAATGGCGCTCGGAGCCGAAAACCGCATGCATTGACTCGCAATAAAACTCCATTAGGCTGTATTCGGGAAACAATGCGAATCGCCCTTGAAACAGCGTCGGCGTTCAGTAAGGCTGGTGAATTCCCTTCCGGTACGTCTCCCCAACATTCCCTCTGGATCCGTCACCACATCGCACAAGGCACATTCAGTGCGCTCGCGGAGCTCACCTCGGGAGCCAGAGGGTTCGGATTGCCATCTTTCGCTTGTGGCCAGTGATCAGGATCGGTGGGTACTATGTTGTATATCGGGTGTTTCGGCTCATGCGGTGCACCAGTAGATGGAATATTTCCTCCTGAAGGACCTCCTAAGTCGTGTGGAGGCATTTTGACGAGATTCGGTGCAGACTACACGTTGGAAGAGCTAGAATTGATTTCTCATTGGCACAAATAAAAATAAAGTCCCGAGGACCACTGATAGCAATCACTATCCATCGTGAAGCAGTGAGGTAGAGAAAGTGATGGTGGAAACTGGAGGACACAAAAATGGTGATCTGGTGTTGGCGAAATGAGCTTATTTTTGGTGCTCGGTGTTGGTGTGATGAGAACTTGGTAGCGGAAAACCGATTGTTCCAGCCCCAGTCAGACATATTCTGATGAACTCGACGCTAACGACAGTGACGACGTATGCGAAAACTCAAGCGATTCAATAACCAGCACATTAGCAAGTCGAATGCTGTCACGTGGACGACAATATCGATGATGTGGAAAGTGAGTGTGATTCGCGGTCGTGTTCGCTACCCGTATTCCCTGATCGGTCTGGAAGAAAAGCATCGACGGCGGGACAAAAGGTAGCTTCTGGTCATCTGAAATTTGCCGTGACCGACATTCTAATCCCTGGCAAGGCTGGAGCTTTCAAGGTGAGGAGCCTGCCTGCCGTGCCTTGCGCTCCCTTTCACATCGATCTTGCATTGGATGGAACGCGTTCCGCGGACTTCCCGCACTCATCCAAACTCAAGTTTTGCCCAAGCTGCCAGGCATCATTGTTGGCTATGATCGCGTTCAGAGATGTTCACAGCAGCCAATCGCGTTCGACCCCTACAACTGGAAAAATGTTTCGTGTCTGCCCATGAATATGTTCCCCATAATTGTTGCTGCCTCGCCAGAGAGCCTTTGAAGTGAAGAGTCAGGAATCAGGATAGGAGGATTTTCCAATCAATCCCCCAGACCTCCTCCCTGCTTCTGGTCAACTCCACACAACACGGCTCATTTTCCACTTCCATGATCAGGCTGATTCCTTGTGTATCAGCGGGCCGTACCTGCTAGAAGCAATTTTATTCGTGAAGCCCTTGTATAGCTTATAATATTTTGTGTGTTGGCATCTATGGCGTAATGCGTTGACGTACTCGATTCCATTTCGTAGGTAGTACGAACGAAGCATTCACAGGATAGGGTAGTCCTAATGGCGGAAGATATTCCACCTCCAGTTGTAGATAACTGGCGGAGAGTGCTCGAGGCCGCGCAGCAGTCTGTATCGCGAGCGAGACAGCGACAGTCTGTATTTTTCCAGTCCGTCTTACCGGAAGGACAGATCGATGGCCTCAATATCGTGCCTCCGACACTAGCTCAGAGGTCCAACATACCTGATTACCTCGCAGCGGCGAAGGACCTAGAAGCCGAACATCCACGCATCTCTCGACTTAGTAAGTGTCCAAATTTTCATGGTTCCTGAGCGTACCTGTTGGTTAAGTGTCTGTCGTGTGTCCAGCTATAGATTTATTCTTTGTTTGTTCTTGTAACATGATTTCCACGCTTGCTTACTGTGTACAGCTTTCTCCCATCTTAGTATTTGATGGTTGGATAATCAGCGCCACGCTTATCCACACCTTCCGCGCTCCCATTTCCCGCATTTCAGTTCTCGATGCTGCTTACAAGAAGGCGATGGTTCTTGATCCCAACATGCAAGGCCGCGGAGTGCTCCAGTTCGTCACGGCCTTGCACATTCTCTTGCCCGTGAGTTGTCCATGCCTTCAACATAGAAACCGTGATTGGGAAGCGGAAGGAGAACGAGTAACGTTGCTGTTGTATGGCTGGAAAACGGGATGTGCACGAGTAACACCTAGATGCGTATCATGTCAAGAATCCGTCCGTAATGTGCGTTATTCGCCGAAATGTGCGTTTTAATGCGTGGCTGCGGTTGATGCAGGAGAGCGACATTGCGGCGGACCCGAGCAGGGACATGGACATGGTCCATGAGTTCTACACCGCGTATCGAGACTATGTCCGCGGGCTGGAGATGGATCCCGAGAATAATAAGTGCGTTCCGTCTGACACTCTAGCCTCGCGTTTTTGTACAGCAGCTCCAGCTTCTTTTTCTGCGCTTCTGTCCAACAACTCCCTTTCCCCACCGAGAATTCGTGTCGTTTGAGCCAGTCGTTGCGTTCACCACGCTCTGTTCATGCGGCTTTCATGACGAAATGGGGTGGATGCGTGTGGGATATGCAGAGAGGAGTTGGGCAAGGCGTGGAAGACGGAACGGGTCCTCATGGAGGTGACCGAGGGCCTCTCACAGACGGTCACGGGATCCGAGCGCAAGCAAGTACAACAGGTAAGCCTTGAACAGTGATTGGTGAATGCGACTCAGCAGGGAGAGATCTGATAGTCACCGAGCAGCAGTAAATCGTGATTGATATTTTGTGAGGAGGGAGCAAGGAATAGGGCCTGGAGGACAAGAATTGAAATTTAAATGGGAGAGTGGACTCGATCGTGGCATGCATGGCTTTAGTCAGTTAACCAGGCTCTTGACTAATTCTCCTCTGTTCATGACCAATTTCAGGAAATTCGGGAGGATAAGATGGCTGCTGCTGCCAAGACGCAAATCTTCACCCGCCAGAACTTCAACATGATCGATCTGGACGCACCCATTCCCACTGATGCTCCTTTGGTAAAAAACCCAACACCCATGCTTGTATTTTGTGAGTCTCACATTATATGTTGTAACCACCGGCTGACCTCACTCCTCTGGCTAGCTTGGAATGGAGTAGAGCTATATTCGTGGTAGTATTTGGTTACCACATTGGCCTCTCATTACCACAATAGCATCTGCTGTGTTGCATCCAATGCATCTGTTGACACTGGAGACGTCTAACGTCTAAATGCGTGACTGTGTTGGCGTGAGCAGTGGAAGAGGCGGGTGGGGGGAGCGATTGCGCTGCTCCATGACCTCAGAGGAGTGCCGAACCGAGGCCGCTTCAAGGACATGCTGCACTACCTGCAATTCGTCTTCGGCTTCCAAGTCAGTGCACCTGCTCTCATTATCGTGATGTCATCTCTGTTTGTTCCTGCAACGGCTGCAACTTCTCTGGCGTTCCTGTTTGTGTGACGGTTCTTCACCTTCTATCCTCAAATTTGTGTGTCACAACTTGGAAGCAACAACCGGCTCCCTTTCCTCCCCCTTTATCCCATCCAATCCCTAACATCCTCGGTCCACCGACCCCCTGATTTGCTGTGCTGTGCGCTGCTCTGCCACACCACCACAGGAGGACAACGTGCGGAACCAGAGGGAGCACATAGTGCTGCTGCTGGCCAACAGCCGCACGTACGATGAGAAGGGGACGCCCATTGCTGCTTCCATGTCCGATGATGCTGCTGTGAGTCATCACGTCAATATCCAGAGCGGGGCCGCACTGGTATCCTCAGGGTTTGGGTTCTACAGTCTTGCGGCTTTCATGTCCACCAATGCTGTGAAAATTCGCGTCCGTATGCATGACACCCTGGCAGCTGTAGAGTCAGGGGTCAGGTCGGGGTGCGGACTGCGCACACAGTAATCCGTGCGTCCTAGTACTTCCGAGTGCTCTGAACTGAAACCCTGGTGCACAACCCGAAACCCTGGCCCCCATCCGTTCATCCACCAGGCAATGAACCTGGCCCTTGATTCCGTTTCGTCAAAGGTGCTCGGAAACTTCCTTCGCTGGGCACAGTACCTCCACGTCGACATCCCCTACTTCACGTACGCACCCCTGATCTCGCCCTGCTGAAATCCACCCTCCTCCCTTTCCTTCCGCTCCCCTCTCCCTCCTTCCTCTTCCCCCAAACCCCCCCCCCCCCCCTCATCCCTCCCCCCCCTTCCCTCTCCCCCCCCACACCCACTTCTTCCTCTCGCATATTTGCATATCTGGTACGAGAATCTCGCATATTTGCCATCGCATGTCAAAACACGTCGTCTGAAATCTGACTCTTGCATCTCTGATCGTGCCATATATATCCTCCAGGGTTCCGGGTTTCGGGTGTAGGACTTCCTCCATGCTTCACTCAAAACCCCCCACCCCTCCCAAGAAACAAAGAGCCTAAATCCTCAACGGCACTGACGTGGCTTGCTTTGGTCCACATGTCTGGCTGGTCCTGACGTTGGATGGCCGTGACTGCGGTGTTGGTGTGGTGTGGTGTGGTGTGGTGTGGTGTGGTGTGGTGTGGTGTGGTGTGGTGCGGTGTGGTGCGGTGTGGTGCGGTGTGGTACGGTGTGGTGTGGTGTGGTGTGGTGTGGTGTGTGCCTGTATGTTGTGTGTGCGTATGCACTGCAGGGCTGAGCACCGAATGCTGCACACGTGCCTCTTCCTGCTCATATGGGGCGAGGCAGCCAACGTCCGATTCCTCCCAGAGTGCCTCTGCTACCTCTTTCACCAGGTAATTATGACACCAGGTAATTGTGACAGCGTGAAGCTTTTTCCTACATTGGTTGAGCGCTCGCTGCTATGCTCATCCCCTCTCTGGGACAATACATGCCTCCTGCCCTCTCTTACCCTATTTCCAGCTGGTTTCTTGGTTACAGTCAGTCAACCAGGATTGTCACAGTACATAAACCTTGATAAGGCGAAGCCCTGTTTCCCCTGTGCCCCTCCCACAACCCCGTTTCCCCCTCCCTCTTCCCCCCTTCTTGTTCAACTTCTCCACAAATTCATGGCCTCTCCACAACCTTCCTTCAAGTGACAACTGAGTCAAACTATCTTATACCACCAAGTCACGCACACGTCTTTCCATCCCCATCCCCCATGGCCACCACCACCTTGGGCAGATGGCGAGTGAGCTGGCGGGGATGATGCAGAAGACAGCCGCGGAGCACAGCCGCATGATGGGCACGGGGGGCGAGTACGCCTTCCTCAACAATGTCATCACGCCCTTCTACAGGATCCTCAAGCAGGTCAGTACGCTGCCAGTACCAGACTGGCAGCACCAGTAGGCTACCAGCAGCAGACTACCTGCTCTTGGCACAAACACAGAATGGCGTCTGAGCAACTCTTTAGTGACTTTGGGGGAACTTTGTTCGGACATTTGAACGTCTCTCACATGGGCTTTCCAGTGGCGTCTGATTTGAGCTGTGAACTTGATTTCGACTTTCCAACTCCTCTCCTGTTTCACCGTTCTGCGCTCTACTCACAACTGAATCCCCTCACTCACTCCTTGTCCTTTCCGCCCCATCACTGTCCCGCCTTTCTCTGTGTGAACCTGCACCACGACCTCCCTGTGCAGGAGTCGGACTATGCGGGCCACGGCAGCGATGCCAAGGGTCACCCTGCATGGCGCAACTACGACGACTTCAACGAGTTCTTCTGGTCTGCTGCTCGCTCCCTGCCATGCCACGCACACATTCCCTCCCTGCCACGCCACGCACACACTCCGTCCCTGCCACGCCACGCACACACCCCCTCCCTGCCACGCCTCGCACACACTCCCTCCCTGCCACGCCACGCACACACTCCCTCCCTGCCACGCCTCGCTCACACTCCCTCCCTGCCACGCCACGCACACACTCCCTCCCTGCCACGCCTCGCACACACTCCCTCCCTGCCACGCCACGCACACACTCCCTCCCTGCCACGCCACGCACACACTCCCTCCCTGCCACGCCTCGCACACACTCCCTCCCTGCCACGCCACGCACACACTCCCTCCCTGCCACGCCTCGCACACACTCCCTCCCTGCCACGCCACGCACACACTCCCTCTCTGCCACGCCACACACACACTCCCTCCCTGCCACGCCTCGCACACACTCCCTCCCTGCCACGCCACGCACACACTCCCTCCCTGCCACGCCTCGCACACACTCCCTCCCTGCCACGCCACGCACACACTCCCTCCCTGCCACGCCTCGCACACACTCCCTCCCTGCCACGCCACGCACACACTCCCTCTCTGCCACGCCACACACACACTCCCTCCCTGCCACGCCTCGCACACACTCCCTCCCTGCCACGCCACGCACACATTCCCTCCCTGCCATCCCTTCCCCCGCACTCTGCTCCCGCTTTCCACATCATACTTCCCCATCCATCATCCCGTCGCCCTGTCTACTCACTCGTCCTCTTGTCTCCTCACACTCTCCCTGCTCTCTCTCTTGTATCCAGCGCCTCCCTTCTCTCCTCACACTAACTTGGCATTCGTTTCTCCCTTTTCCTGTCTTTCTCCCTCTCTTCATGCCCTTCCACCTGGCCTCTCAGGAGCAAGCGCTGCTTTGAGCTGGGCTGGCCAATCCGCACCAGCCACGTGTTCTTCAAGCCCCCACCCGTCAAAAGCAAGGACCCTGGCAAGAAGATGGAAACCCCCAAAACCGTCACGGTCAGTACAGGAAAGCCATGACGAGCCCTCAGATTGCTGTCGTGTTCAATCCAGGCGAGTCACCTCAATTCCAGTCAGTTAGTGCAGTGCATGCACGAGCTTGCAACCCCCCAGATATCATGATTTCCGAACTCCTTACTTTCCTTCTTCTGACTCAACTGCCAGTAGCTACTTATCATTGTCCTTGGTTATCAAGTTTTTGATTGGTGATAGAGACTTCACTTCAAGCAGAGTGCTCTGCATCGTAGCTGCTGCATGTGATGGACGCCCTTCTTAACCACACACTGCTCCACGCTTGTGGTTTCCTCTCTGTGTGTGCAGGGAGAGGATTTCTCAAGCAAGAGCCGGCTGAGCAAGACGCTCTTTGTGGAGTGGCGCTCCTTCCTGCACCTCTACCGCGGCTTCGATCGCATGTGGGCCTTCCTGCTCCTCATGTTCCAGGTCTGTTGAGTTTTGAGTTGACTCAAAACTGGGCCTTCCTGCTGCTCATGTTCCAGGTCTGTTCTCCATGCATGCATGTGCTGCACCCCACACTGCAGTTGTCATGAAGCTTCCAACCCTCTCGCAGGTCTCCACTGCCCAACCCCCTTTAAAATTTCACTGCTAATTAAGCGGCGATGCCTAGTAACATATTACACTCGGCATTTGCTCATACATTTTCGATTCAGGGCAAAGCAATAACGGGGGCGGGACTGGTCCTCCACAATCATGAAGACGCTCTCCCTTCAGCTTCTAAGAATTTGCCGTTTCTTCAAGCCTGTCCCCTTGCTCCAACGCACATTATTCTCTTCTCTACCTGCAGGGTATGGCCATCGTGGCGTTCAGTGGGCAGGACGGGTCCACAATGCTCATGAAGGTGCTCTCCCCAAAGCCTTTCAAGCATCTCGATTCTCAACCCACTTACCCCCCCTCTGCCCCCTCTCTCTCTCCCACTCACATGCTCTCATCCGCCAGGGCATGGCCATCGTGGCGTTCAGTGGGCAGGACGGGTCCACCACGCTCATGAAGGTGCTCTCTGTGGTGCCCATGGCCGCTATCCTCCGCTTCTTCCAAGGTACGCTCCCTCCGCTCATACTGGATAACCCCATTCACACCAATCTGCACGTCCATTCAGGGTGGATTTCTATCACATCATCGGCGCTTTTAACCGCCTCACCTCAGTCCACTCCACAGCAATCCCTCCAACCCCTCTTCACCATCCCCCCAATTCCTCCCCGTGTTTTCCCATACTCTCTCTGATCTCGAACTCCTCACTGCAGTGCTGTTTGACATTCTGCTGTCGTTCGGAGCCTACCGCAGCATGAGTGTGCAGACCATCTCCCGCAAGTTCCTCCGCCTAGCTGTGCTCGGCGCCTGGGGGGGCTTCCTCTCCTTCTTCCTCATGTGAGACTTGCTCAGCTTTTTCAATCTCTTTCTTGAACTTTAAGGTCAACTGAAATGTAGCATTTTCTCCTTCTCTTCCCCTCCCCCCTCCTCTCCCCCCCTTCCCACCCCTTCCTGCTTCCCCATCATGTATTTCAATCAGATGTTTTACCTCAGCAGCTTCTAATGTTCTCTCCTCCTTTCTTCCTCCAAACACCCCCTACGCTCCACAAACAACAGCATGTATTTCAAGTCGGGCTTTGATTTCAGCAGCCCCTACCGCCCGCTCTTCCTCATGCTAGCAGCCGTCTGCGCCATCCCGGCTGTGGTTCTCTCGCCCCTCCCTGATCATCTGACTCTACTCGAATATCGCTTTTTCCCCTTTTCCCCATTGCCTTCCTTCCAAACACGCCCCACCCTCCCACTACCAGCATGTATTTCATCTCGGGATTCGACCCCAGCAGTCCCTACCGCCCACTCTTCCTCATGCTAGCAGCCATCTACGTCATCCCCGCAGTCGTCCTCTCGCTGCTCATGCGCTTCGTCACGCCGCTGCGCTCCCAGCTCGACCGCGTCAGCCACCACCGCTTCTTCCAGTTCGTCAAGTGGTTCTACCAGGTGGGTGGTGGTTCTATTAGGTGGATGATGGTTCTGTCCGGTGGTCAGTTTGTTCTGTCTGGTGGTTGGGGTGGTTCTGCCAGCCAGGCAAGTGTTTCCACCAGCTTCTTCGTCTTGTGGCTCCCCTGTTTCATGATACATGCTCGTACCTCTCTGTATGCCCATGATACCCTCAATCATCATTATCTCTTATCACCTGTGACCTCCTTCCTCTGTCTCTTGCCCTGCGCAGGATGAGGTGTACACAGGGAGGGGCATGTACGAGAGCTTCAAAGACACATTCCTGTGAGTGCGAAAGCGTGCCAAAGACGTCATTCCGTTGCCCCTCATCATTTTTTCCACTTGCCTCTCTCTTTGCCCCACATTTGCACACAACTGTACAATCACGCATGCCAACCTTCCTAGCTCTGACTCCCCCCTTCCTTGAATCCCAACCCTGCCCTCCATCTTCTCCCCGCCTTCACCCCCACCCCCCTTCCTCCATGTATCTCCGCTTCCTGTCCATGCATGCCTGCATTTTCATCCGTACATGCACACATACATGCACACAAACGTGCACGCATGCAGGTACTCGCTGTTCTGGGTGGTGCTGCTGCTGTGCAAGTGCCTCTTCAGCTACTACTTCCAGATCCTCCCTCTCGTTGGCCCCACGCGCTACATTATTGGCTTCAAGCACCTCAAGTATCGCTGGAAGGACCTCGTCTCTGCCAGTACGTGCTTTCTTGCTGCAAGTCTGTGCCTAGTCGCTGCAAGTATGTGACTTATCTCTTCGGAGTTGACTCAAAGCCACGCGCTACATCATTGGCTTCAAGCACCTCAAGTATCGCTGGAAGGACCTCGTCTCTGCCAGTACGTGCTTTCTTGCTGCAAGTCTGTGCCTAATCGCTGCAAGTATGTGACTTATCTCTTTGGAGTTGACTCAAAGCCACGCGCTACATCATCGGCTTCAAGCACCTCAAGTATCGCTGGAAGGACCTCGTCTCTGCCAGTACGTGCTTTCTTGCTGCAAGTCTGTGCCTAGTCGCTGCAAGTATGTGACTTATCTCTTTGGAGTTGACTCAAAGCCACGCGCTACATCATTGGCTTCAAGCACCTCAAGTACCGCTGGAAGGACCTCGTCTCTGCGAGTGCGTGCTTAACCTCTGCCAATACTCTCCTCTGCTGCATTGCCTTGACATTGTTCCCTCTGGCCTCACCCAACACAACCCCCCGCCCACCTGACCAGGCAACTACAACGCCCTCACGCTTCTCTCCATCTGGGCGCCAGTCTTTGTGGTACGCCATTCACATGCATCTCATACTCACCACATGTCTCTTATCCAAATGCATAGTCCACTAATAACACATCTATTCGCTGCATCTTCCCTCTCTTCTCCCCCTCCAGAAAGCTCCTTCTCCCCTCTCCCTCCCGCCCGTCTCCCTCGCCCCTGACCCTTCTACCAGATCTACTTGATAGACGCACAGATCTGGTACACTGTGCTGTCTGCCATACTCAGCACACTCATTGGCGCCTGGTGGCATTTGGGGGAGGTGAGCACTGGGAAAGATAAGCACCGGAAAGAATGTAGCTGCAGAAAGGGTTAACAGCTGAGAATCTGGGGAAAGTAAGCACAAGGGAGGTAAGCAGGTAGGGGGGGGGGAGGGAGGAATAACAAGGTGGCATGCGGAATCGTTCTGAAGGTGTTCACCTGGTGCCTTTCAGGGTTGTAAGCATCATGGGTTCGTTCGTTCTTTTCTTCTTCTTTCAGACATCTCGTACCTATCGCAGCGTAGCAACCACTGTGTACTTCCTCCGTGAACACCATTGCTCGTTTCGCAAATCCTCAATCCGTTCAATCCTACTGTCTTCCTCCTCCCTGCACTGCCTCCTCTATTCCTCCCCTCCCGTCCATCCACTCACTCCATATGGTATCAGATCCGCACGCTCTCCATGCTGCGGGCGCGCTTCCGCTCGTTCCCAGCAGCCTTCATGAACACAGTGCACCACCAGAACAAGTTCAACCGCACGCGGTGAGTGTCTCTTAAGTCAGCCGGAGGATCATGGATCAAATGGACTTCAATCAATGGCAGGTGAGGTAGAGTGTCAGGCGAGTGCCACACACATGGGATGCTGTGCCACACACATGGGATGCTGTGCCACACACATGGGATGCTGTGCCACACACATGGGATGCTGTGCCACACACATGGGATGCTGTGCCACACACATGGGATGCTGTGCCACACACATGGGATGCTGTGCCACACACATGGGATGCTGTGCCACACACATGGGATGCTGTGCCACACACATGGGATGCTGTGCCACACACATGGGATGCTGTGCCACACACATGGGATGCTGTGCCACACACATGGGATGCTGTGCCACACACATGGGATGCTGTGCCACACACATGGGATGCTGTGCCACACACATGGGATGCTGTGCCACACACATGGGATGCTGTGCCACACACATGGGATGCTGTGCCACACACATGGGATGCTGTGCCACACACATGGGATGCTGTGCCACACACATGGGATGCTGTGCCACACACATGGGATGCTGTGCCACACACATGGGATGCTGTGCCACACACATGGGATGCTGTGCCACACACATGGGATGCTGTGCCACACACATGGGATGCTGTGCCATCCTTTGACATCGTTCAGCGGCTTTCAGATTCATTGGCCGCTATCAATGATCTTCGTCTTTTCTCTTCCAGCCGCTCTCACTCCACACACACACACACACACACACACACACACACACGCACACACACACACACACACGAACCCCAACCAACTGCCCATTCCCCACCCCCGCCTCCTTGCTCAGCTCCACATCGCTGCGCTCATCAGCCCGCTTCCAGCCGCTGGGGTCGCAGCAACCGGCGAGCGGCAGTGAGCTGCTGCTGTCATCACGACGGGAGGCGTGCAAGTTTGCCATCGCGTGGAACGAAATCATCCGCCTGCTGCGAGAGGAGGACTACCTCTCCGACAGGTGGGGTGGGGTGGGGGTGTGCTGCACCTGCTGCTTTCTGCCTCCTACTGCCTACTGCCTGCTCTTGATCCTCAGACTTTCCTTTTCCTCCTGAAACGTTTCAAAAGTGATGCTTCCTCCTAATGCTGCTGCCTGCCTCCTATGCTCAACCTGCATTCATAAATTGTGATGAGTGGCCTCCATTCATCCACCATAACAGGACACCAAAACGGACTGTCTCTTGCACAAACTTGTGGCTTGTGTCTTGGTCTCTGTGAGTGCGTGCAGGGAGTACGACCTGCTAATCATGCCTGCTCTGCCTTCCAACGTCACAGTGGTGCAATGGCCGCTCTTCCTCCTCGCCAATCAGGTACTGCATCAGGGGAAGCAACTACCATCTGTCACTGTGGCAAAAATCCGTCAAGAAACAGCATGTGCTGCTTTGACAGGTCGTCCCTTTGGCACATGCGCTGCTCTGCACTCAATCTCTTGCGCTGCTCTGAACTCACTCTTTCACGCTGCTCTGCACTCACTCTCCCGCACTGCTCTGGCTCTGCTCTGCACTCACTCTCTCTCCCTCTCTCTCATGTTGTGCCCATCACCCTCTGCAGATCCTCCTGGCAGTCGGAGAGGCGTCAGGCCGCAAGGAGTCCCAATCAACCGTGTGGCGCAAGGTGACAGGCGACGAGTACATGCGCTGCGCCGTGCTCGAGGCCTACCAGAGCCTGCGCCCCTTCCTGCTCTCCATCGTTGAACCCAGCCGCACCGCACCCACTACTGGCACCGCCGCTGCTGCTACCCAGGAGGCAGGCAGTGGGGTGTACGAGGCGCGGATCATCAACCGGCTGTTTGACGATTTGGAGGTGGAGGGGAACAACGGCAGCCTGCTGACCACCTTCCGCTTCTCCGCCCTGCCTGTCATCCTCGACCGCCTCTCCAAGCTCACTGCTGTGCTCGTCAGTTCCTGCTGGCCCTGCAAGTCGATTGTTACCTGCCCTGCTGACTACTGCCTGATGCATTGTTCCAATGATTCCTGCTACCCACTCGGAATCTGTTGCATGCCCTGCCTGTCATCCTCGACTGCCCATCCCTCACTGCCATGCTGCTCAGCTTCCTGCTGCCATTCTCACCCTCAACCCGAAACCCTTATTACTCTTTTTATCCACCTCCCATCACCCCTCTTCCTCCCTCGCCTCTCCCTCCGTCCCCCCACCTCCTCGCCCTCCCCCTGATTCAGATCCAGGACCAGAACGAGATGACGCAGCGGGCAGCAGTGCAGGCGCTGCAGGCGCTCTACGACACGGTCAAGTTCGACTTCCTCTCCCCTGACCACCGGTGCGTACCTTTGGGGTTCTAGGGCTAGAAAGTTCTGGCTGGTTGCGCCATGTTGAAGTCACTTTGATGAGGCTCTAAAGTCAGTGCAGGCGCTGCAGGCTCTCTATGACACGGTCAAGTTCGACGTCCTCTCCCCCAACCACCGGTGCGTGGCTCAGGATTTCAGTCTGAAAATTCTCCTGAAATTCTGATAGGATGGCGGGTTGGGGCAGTTTGGTAGTTCTTGTGGTCCCAAATCGACTCCATGTGAGGATATTGGGGATGAGAAGCTGGGAGGTAGTCTATTTGTCCCTTCCCGGCTTCAACCAGCCTCGCTCCTGCTACCTCCTTTCGTCCTTCTTCCAAAGCAACCATGGGTGCATTATCAAGCAAGCCCCAGTCGTACCACCTGTGACGATTTTTTGTGGCGCCTAAAAAATCTCCTCCTGCCTCCTTTCCTTCCCGTCCCTGAGCAAGCCTGGAGGACGTATCGGGCAAGCCCCAGTCGTACTGCCTGTGATGAGTTTTGAGGCGCCTAATAATCTCCTCCTACCACCTTTCCTTTTCCTCCCAGAGCAAGCCTGGAGGACGTATCAGGCAAGCCCCAGTCGTACTGCCTCTTCGCAGCAGTGGCATGGCCGGCGAACCGGGCGGCGGTGAAGCGGCTGCACCTGCTGCTGACGATCAAGGAGTCGGCCATGGACGTGCCTCACAACCTGGAGGCGCGGCGCCGCCTGCAGTTCTTCACCAACTCGCTGCACATGCGCATGCCTGACGCCCCCAAAGTCGCCGACACACTTCCCTTCTGGTGCGTTGAGTTGATTTAATTCCCTCTAGCCTGGTACCACTGGGGGACTGCTCGGTAGCTCCTGGTTCTGGCTGGCGCTGTGCCTCTTTCCTCTCCAATACCGGTATGTGCGTTGAGGTGGCTGGGTGAAGCGGCTGCACCTGCTGCTGACGATCAAGGAGTCGGCCATGGACGTGCCTCACAACCTGGAGGCGCGGCGCCGCCTGCAGTTCTTCACCAACTCGCTGCACATGCGCATGCCTGATGCCCCCAAAGTCGCTGACACGCTGCCTTTCTGGTGAGTCAAATTGAAGCAACTCCCTTTAGTCGGTTATGACTGGGAGACTGCTTGATAGCTCCTGGTCTGGCTGGCGCTGTGCCTCTTCTATATGTGCCCTTGAGGCCGTACTACAGCAAGGTCGTGACCTGCTCTGCACTGACCCCTCCCCTTTCCTCTGCACCCCTGCTAATCTGTACCCCATTCTCTCTGCCCCCTGCCAGTGTGATGACGCCGTACTACAGCGAGATTGTGACCTACTCCATGGCGGAGCTGGTGAGGGTGCTCCCTTTTCTTATTCCCGCTTCCCATCCACACCCCCTGCCCACCCCCCCCCCCAGTGTGATGACGCCATACTACAGAGAGATTGTGACCTACTCCATGGCGGAGCTGGTGAGGGTGCTCCCTTTTCTTATTCCCGCTTCCCATCCACACCCCCTGCCCACCCCCCTCCCCAGTGTGATGACGCCATACTACAGCGAGATTGTGACCTACTCCATGGCGGAGCTGGTGAAGCCCAACGAGGATGGCATCTCCACCCTCTTCTACCTCCAGAAGATCTTCCCAGGTGCGTCTGTCATGCCCCACATGCCACATGCCACTTGTGTAGACTTGCCTCTTGCCACTTGTGACCATGTTCCACATGCCTGCGACAGCTTCTCTGCTCCTGCACGCACTGGGCACACTGCCTGCCACTGCGCATGGCCCATCGTGTGCTTCCAACTGCCCACTGCCCACTGCCCACTGCAGCACGTCCTTCTGCATGCTGCTTCTGTCGCCCTTGTTCTTGATGTCACTCAGCCACCCCTCATCCTAATCACCACCCCTTCCCCCAGACGAGTGTGCCCTGCAGCGTGTGGGCATGGGCAAGAAGGAGATGGATGTGCTTCTGCAAGCATGCAAGCACGTTTGAGCCTCCCCATTAGACACGCCTCCCCCCTTCTCCATCTCCTCCTCTGTCCCTCTCCATCTCAACTCTTCAAACCCAAACCCTTCCCTCAGACGAGTGGTCCAACTTCCTGCAGCGCGTGGGAATGGGCGAGAAGGAGGTGGAGGTGCAGCTGTGAGCCCATTACCACGTATGAGGCACCTTAATAGAGACACCCCTTTCCCCTTCCCCATCTCTCCTCCTCTGCCTCTCTACTCCAGACGAGTGGGCCAACTTCCTGCAGCGAGTGGGAATGGGCGAGAAGGAGCTGGAGGTGCGGCTGAGGGCGAAGGACGACATCAAGGAGCTGCGCATGTGGGCGTCGTACCGCGGCCAGACCCTCGCCCGCACTGTGCGCGGCATGATGTACTACCACCGCGCGCTCCGACTGCTCGCCTACATGGAAACGCCAAACTCCACAGGTGAGCGAGACTTGAAAGAGATGACTACAGATGGGTTGTTCCTTGCACCATGCATGGCATGGCATGGCATCACGCACTACCCCAACTCAAATGCCACATCCGAGGACTGGTATTAGAGATGGCTGCAACTAAGTTTTTTTACGCTCTGGCAGAAGATGCCACACTCAGGGCGTTCAGGCTGCTAGGCTACATGGAAAGCAAGTTGCCCCTTGTGCAGGCTGGACGCTGTTGGTCGCAGACGCCAGCACACCCCTTGCATCAAAGGAATCAATTGTATTCCTCCTTCATATGTTTTCCCTTTTGTCAGTTTCCACCCCTCTGCTTTTTACTCCTCCCCCCCTCTCCCCTCTTCCGCCCGTCAGACCTGGAGCTGGGAGCGGACGGGCTCCCATTGGACCCGGCAGACAGGCTGTATCTGGCGAAGGTGGAGCCAAAGGAGCTGGCGGACGTGAAGTTCACGTACGTGGTGACGTGCCAGATCTACGGCAAGCAGAAGGCTGACAAGGACCAGCGCGCTGCTGACATATTCAACCTCATGAAGGAGTGAGTGCGGTGGAGTGCGGTGGAGTGCAGTGGAGTGTGATCGAGAAGGGTGAAGAGGGAAACAAAGTGATATGTTGTGGTACGAGTGTACTGGATGGAATATCAAAAGGCCGTGCGGACATCCACAAGGTGAAGCATCGCATTGCTGAGGTGCTCTCTCCATTCCTCTTTTTTCACTATTTCCTGGAAACCCCCCCTCCTAACTTGACAACACCTGCACCCAGGCACGAGGCTCTGCGAGTGGCATACATCGATGAGGTAGTCACCCTCCCAGCTGACCCAAGTCGCCCCGATGCTCGCCCGAAGACGGAGTACTTTTCACGGCTGGTAAAGGTGGACACGTTCGGCAGCGAGCAGGACATCTACAAGGTGAAGCTGCCGGGACCGGCGAAGCTGGGCGAGGGCAAGCCGGAGAACCAGAACCACGCCATCATCTTCACGCGCGGGGAGGCGCTGCAGACGATCGACATGAACCAGGACAACTACTTTGAGGAGACGCTCAAGATGCGCAATCTGCTGCAGGAGTTTGCCAAAAAGCACGGGCTCAGGAAGCCATCGATCCTCGGCGTCAGAGAGCACATTTTCACCGGCAGGTGGGTGACCGTGAGGGGATTGCACATCTCATACGGTGGGTGAGCGCGTGCTGTTTTGTATAGAGGTGGTGAAAAGAGGGAAGCCGGTGAACCAAGCCAGAACCATGCCGTCATCTCCACGCGTGGCGACTGGAGAGGCGCTGCAGACGATCGACATGAACCAGGACAACTACTTCGAGGAGACGCTCAAGATGCGGAATCTGCTGCAGGAGCTTGCCAAGAAGCACAGGCTCAGGACGCCGTCGATTCTTGGCGTTAGAGAGCACATCTTCACCGACAGGTGGGTGAGGGTAACTGTGAGTAGGTTTGGTTTGGTAAGTGGGTGTTGGGAGTTAGCGAAGAAGCACGGGCTCAGGAAGCCGTCGATTCTTGGTGTCAGAGAGCACATCTTCACCGGCAGGTGGGTGACAGGCGAAGCTTGTTGGGAAATATACAGGAATGAGCACGCGCTTCTGTCAAACCCCGCCTTGTCAACCCTGTAGCTTTCCCCATGTACCTTGAGCTTTGAGGCATCTTGTCATATTGTTTGGTGCCTTGGATATTTTGGACGTTTCCCTGTGTCTTTGCGATACTTTTGAGAATTCTCAAAAGTGTCTTTGGGATAATGTACTGAAATCACTTTTGAGAATTCTCAAAAACGTTTCCCTGTGTCTTTGAGATCCTGTACTGTACCCCCCCCACCTTGCCTTCCTTCACTCCTCCCTCTTGTGCACAGTGTGTCTTCATTGGCATGGTTCATGTCCAACCAGGAGACCAGCTTCGTCACCCTCGGCCAGCGCTTCCTTGCCATTCCTCTCAAGTAAGTGTCATGCTTAGTTGCCAATGCCACCACTAGCTAGGATGCAAGTAAGTGCAACGTTTAGCCATTGAGCATGTGAGGCATCCACATGCCGAACAACATCACACGATGCTGACTTTACATTATTACTATTATGCATCCCTCGTCTATCTCAGTGTGCTTTGTAGTCTGCGTGACAGGATCACGGATGTTTCTGGAAGGGTCTCGTAGCCCCAAGGGGAAGACGTAACCCGTTTCGCTCTTCGCCCTCCCCTCCACCCTCCCTTCTGCTCCTACCTGCGCCCTCCCCCCCGCCCTCCGCCCTCTGCCCTCCGCCCTCTGCCCTGCCCTTTCCTCTGCTTCCGCAGGGTGCGCATGCACTACGGGCATCCAGACGTGTTTGACCGTCTCTTCCACATCACACGTGGCGGCATGAGCAAGGCGTCCAAGACCATCAACATCAGTGAAGACATCTTTGCTGGTACGCCATGAGTAGTCAGGTTACCATATGAGTAGCCATGTGTAGCTTCTGCTGCTGTTGCTGCTGCTATGCTACTCTAGTCTCTTCCATATCACGCACGGCAGCATCACGCGTGCTGGTTCAGGGTGCCAGGTGGTGGGTGGAGGTGCTTTCTCCTGAAACCATCGCCTAGTGTTCTTCGTTGTTTTTCATTCTTGACTGCCCTACTCTTGTCTACCTTCACTTCATTTCCTCCTGTCTCTTCTCCACGTTCCCTATCCGCCCTCACCAGGCTTTAACACCACGCTGAGACAAGGCAACGTGACCCACCACGAGTACATACAAGTGAGCCCTTCAAGTGCTGCTGCTTTGGATTCTGTCGTGCCGTCCTATGCCGTGCATCACCTGTCAGACTGCAAAGCCCACAATGATGCTATGACCACTTGAAAAACTCAAGGATAATAGTGCTTCTAAGCCGAAACCACTCAAGGATATCATCGTTTCACTGTCAAACTGCTCTGCGACGCCTTCTCTCTGCATAACTGCGTATGCCACCAAACTCTCTCTCTGGCTTCGCCTCTGGCTTCTCCTCATCTGTACCTCCCTCCATCCATCCATGTCTGTGTGTGCGTGCCAGGTGGGCAAGGGGCGAGACGTGGGGCTCAACCAGATCGCTCTCTTTGAGGCCAAGGTCGCCAGTGGCAATGGAGAGCAGGTGCGTGTGTGCCCACCTCACCGGCATGTGTGTCCTTTGTTGTGTCACTTGCTTGTGCGTGCGTGCCTTGACGCACCAGAAAGCATGAGGTGGCAGAAAGCATGAGGTGGCAGAAGCAATTTTTTCTCTCCTCACTTTGTTTCGAAACAAGGACCTTTTTTAAAGTGCACTCACAACGCAGCAACTCTTTGTGTGCGTGCATGTTCGCGCATGATTGTGCGTGTACGGGAGAGGAGAGAATGCATGTGCACATGCATGTGTGTGTATGCATGACTGGCCATGTATGTATGTGTGACGTTGTCTCTGTGTCTGTGCATGTATGTGTTATCTGTCTCTCTGTGTGTCTGTTCCTTCACACGTGCAGGTGTTATCACGAGACATCTGTCGGTTGGGTCAGCTCTTTGACTTCTACCGCCTCCTCTCCTTCTACTTCACCTCTGTTGGCTTCTTCCTCTGCACCGCTGTAAGCTACCATACCAGACCACCATAAGCCGCTTCCAGAAGCTTTGTTTTTTTTGCCTCCAGCCGTTGCAAAATTCGTTTTCTTCACCTCCATCTATCCGTGCCGTTTGCCCACCACATCATGTCAGTTAGCCCTCTCTTCAAGCCACACCTCCCTCTCTGCATGTTTTCCCCGCCCACACATCTCCTACCCCTCCACTGCAGCTCACTTCCTTCTGTGCCTTCTTGTTCCTCTACGGAAGAGTCTACCTGGTAAGCCACGCCACCATCCCCTACTCTCCACTTCTGCATGCATACATCACCTCGCAAGAGAACCTGCCCAAGAGCCCACAAGCTTCCCCTGAATCCCTCCTGTGCTTCTTTGGTCTTTGCTGCTGTTTCTCCATGACACCTGGACATGCATCAAAGCTCCCGTTTTTAGGCACCACAGTCTACTATCTTCCCCCACTAAACCCCTCATGAATTTGCATGGCATGTGTGGCTTGTTGCCTCTCCTGCGTACGCATGGGGTCAGCTCTATCTCTCATCTCTTTATCAATCCCTTCTGCATGCTGCTTCGATGTGTGTGTGTGACGACCCGCCCTCCCACAGAGTCTATCAGGAGTGGGTGCAACTCTCTCGTCGCAGAGTGAGAGTGTGGCGAACCTGGCGCTGGAGTCAGCCATCAACACGCAGTTCCTCATCCAAGCGGGATTCTTCACCGCCGTACCCATGATCATGGGCTTCATCCTCGAACAGGGCTTCCTGCGGGTGAGTGCACTGCAATGAGGCTCCTTTTTGAGAATTCTCAAAAAACATACACTGCAATGAGCCTCCTGCAGGCGTTCTAAGGGTGAGCAGGTTGGGGAGTCTATGTGCCTGTGGGTGAAGGTTTGGGTCAGCCATCAACACGCAGCTCCTCATCCGAGCGGGATTCTTCACCGCTGTGCCCATGATCATGGGATTCATTCATCCTCGAACCGGGCTTTCTAAGGGTGAGTCTAGAAGGCATGTTGGATGCGTAGCACACAGGGATTCCAAAAGCTATCTTACACAGGTATTGAAATCTAATCTTCTGCTTCGTTGGACTCTTCATCCTCGAACAGGGCTTCCTGGGAGTGAGTGCCTTGATGTGGCGCAATCAACAGGGTTTCCTGAAAGTGGTCCTTTCCTCCCACCCATTTTCCCAAACCCCTCTTCCCTAACCCCTCTTCCCTACCCTCTTCCCCCCTGCCCTCTCCCACATCCACCCACCAGGCGGTGGTGAGTTTCATAACGATGCAGCTACAGCTGGCGTCCGTCTTCTTCACCTTCTCCCTGGGCACGCGAGCGCACTACTTCCTGCGCACGCTGCTGCACGGCGGGGCCAAGTACCGTGCCACTGGCAGAGGCTTCGTCGTTCGCCATATCAAGTTCGCTGATAACTACCGCCTCTACTCACGCTCGCACTTCACATACGGGTGTGTAACACGAGGGCGCTTTTTATTGCGTGCCACATCTAGTTTGCTGACAGCTGCTGCCTCTACTCGCGCTCATACTTCATAAATGGTTCTGAAAATACAAGGGGAGCGAGGAAAAAGGGATGGGGGTGCTGATGGTGTACACCTGCTGTATGGGGGCAGTCGCTCCATCTTCTTCTCACTCTTGTCTTTCTCTGTCCACCGCCCCCGGCAATATCAGCAGCATATGCTGCTGGCAGTATACATGCTGTGCTGAGGTAGCAGCTACTCCACCCTCATCCCCCTTACACTGCCCCTCTCCCTTATGTCCATTTATGCTCGTGATGTGTTCCCCTCCCCGCGCAGCATAGAGGCCATAATGCTGCTGACAGTGTACATGCTGTACGGGGGCAGCAGCTCCAGCCTGGTCTATCTGCTCATCACCGTGTCTTCCTGGTTCCTGGCTCTCTCCTGGTGCTACGCGCCCTACATCTTCAACCCCGCCGGCTTCGAATGGCAAAAGTAGCTACCGCTTGCAACGTTTCCTCATCATCCGTTTTTCCTTCCTCACTCTTTTCCGCTTTAGTGTGAAAAAATTGTTCCGCTTTCGTCCTACTCATATCTTCCTTTCCCGTTCCTGCTGTGCCGCTGTGGTTTGACCGTGGCAGGACGGTGGCGGATTTTGAGGACTGGGTGGAGTGGCTGTGGTACAAGGGTGGTGTGGGAGTGAAGGGCGAGCAGAGCTGGGAGTCGTGGTGGGAAGAGGAGACGGTGAGTCGTGGTGGGACATGGAGACAGGGAAGCCATTCCGCTCATTGACAGGAGATTCTTTTAAATCTCCTCCGGACTCTCACACAAACTGCGTGCATGCTAGCCCCTCTACGCACTTGCTGCTCTGCCGTGCTCGTGCTTGCACCTGTGCATGTTTCTGCCACGTGCATCCATCAGACATGCCATGCCTTCATCTGGTCCTCTTCCTAAGCCTCCACACGCTTCCCCCCTCAACGCTTTCACGTGCTCCTTCGGCTAAGCCCTCCCATCTGTGTCTGCCCATACTGCCCATCTTGCCCTTGGTGCTGGCAGGAGCACGTGCGCAGCATCCGCAGTCGCATCATCCAGGTGGTGCTCAACCTTCGCTTCTTCTTTGTACCCTACGGCATTGTCTACCAGCTCAACGTGGCTCAGGGCAACACTAGCATTCTCGTGAGTTCTGGGCCCGTTTATGAATTCTTGCTTTAAATTGGCGCAATAGTCGCCACTCTTCTTTGTGCCCTACGGCATCGTGTACCAGCTCAACGTCGCCCAGGGAAACACCAGTATCCTCGTGAGTTTTCGTCGACTCGCAATGAAATCTGACTTTCTAGGTCGAATCTTTAGTCGCCACGCTTTTTCTTCGTGCCCCATGGCCTCGCCTACCAGCTCAACGTTGCTCAGCTCAGGACAACACCAGCATCCTCATGAGTGCCCTCATGCTGTGTGCCATCTGGCCTGATGTAGTCCCATCCCACTGTGGACTGCCATCCACACGTACTGTCACACTCCTGACAGTCACAGTTCATACTGTCACACAAGACGCATGTTTCGCGAGTTTAAGGCATACCATCGCCACCAAAGATGACCACGTCACAATCATCTGATTGTACCCACTGCCAGCCCCCCTCCTCCTCACTCATTGTACCATCCTTGTGCCTTTCTCTTTCTGTTCTCCTCACCACTTTCCCCTTACTGCCTGCTCCCAGGTGTATGCGTATGCCTGGATCATCTTTGTCGTCGTCGCTCTTGTCTTCTGGGTGAGTCAACAGAGAAGCGAGTGGGTTTCCCTCGCTGCATCGCCGCAGCTGATTTGCCGCATCTCGTGGTGCCTTCGCCCTGTCTTATCGCCCCTTGCTCTCGCTTCAGTCGTTCATCCATCTCAACCACAGCTTAAGCCCTTGCAAAAAGCTCGCTGCTTTTCTGTCTATCCATAACCATCCCCCTCACTCTTCCCCCCCCTCGCTTCCCTCTCCCTCGGCCTCAATCCTCTTCCGCCCCGCCTTCTTCTCCCCCTCGCCCACTCACCAGGTGTTCAACTTCTCGCGCGCGTGGGAGGCGCAGCTACCCATCCGGCTGCTGCAGATCACAGTGGCAGTGCTCTTCGTGACCAGCATTGCCGTGTGTGTCACCGTCACCTCGCTCACCTTTGGCGACCTCTGCTCCATCATCTTCCTCTTCATCCCCCTCACCGGCTGGGGCCTCCTGCAGGTATATGTTCTTCCTGTGTTACACCATCGTGCCCTCCCTCAGTCTTCCATCATCTTAGTGCTCCCCTCGTTATTTTCTTCCTCCCCTTCCCATTCTTGCATCGCCCTCCTCCCCTCCTGACCATCCCCCCCCCTTCGGCACCCTCCCCCGCTCCTTCTTTTCCCCCACCTTCCTACTCCAATTCCTCCCACTCATGTTCCCCTGTACCTCCTATCTCACCTCCGTCCGCATCTGGATTGTGACTGTACGGCAGGTGATTATAGCGCTGCGACCTGTGCACAACAAGCGGCTGTGGTGGTGGAGGCAGGTGCGCACCCTGGCGCGGGTGTACGATGCAATCATGGGGGGAATGATCTTCCTGCCAGTCGCTGTGCTCTCCTGGTTCCCCTTTTTCTCCACCTTCCAGACCCGCCTTGTCTTCAACCAGGCCTTCTCCAGAGGCCTCGAGATCTCACTTATCCTTGCTGGGAAACCCTCAGATGCTGCTGCCTAGGCCAGGATGTGTCATGTACAAAGGTGGTGTGGGTGATTTTTGTTTGGGTCTTGAAAGAGGAGAGAAGCGTGTTCTTGAATATTGCATATGGAACTTGTCACGAGGTGCTCTTCTGCATGCTGTTATCAGTACGATTTGTATGTTGCTTCTTACTTACCCCAAAGGTCGTAAACATAGAAACCTGATAGAGTAAGCAATTTGCAGTATAAAAGGAGAAAGCTCGGGTGGTATGCTTGATACAGAGTGTTGTACATCTGAGAGGCGAATCACGTGTGCAGATCATACATTTTTTTAGAAGCTTTCTTCACAGCAGAACTCTCTGATATTATGCATGGAAAATTTGTACAACAAGATATGACACTACTGAAAATATTATACGTACAACAATCAGCAGTTACCTGTTGTTACGAGTGCAATTGAGTGAACGAACGAGAATTGCACTATCGAAGCAAGAGTACAATGAGCGAAGGCATGAGCGAAGAATATATAGCGAAACTACAGTGGTAACGGTAATGGACTGTGGTTGTCGCGCGACGGGCCTGACACTGAGGTTGGGAAAAGTGTCGAAGCGGAGGCCCGGAGCGCGGGTTACCCGCCGAGCCGTGAGGTCGGGGTGCGACGTGCGAAGGTGGCGGGCGGATTGTCGATGCGAGGATTGCGAGTGGTAACGGTGCTGACTGTGGTGCTACAGTGATGTATGCGTTGAGCAGGGACGCGAAGTAAGGAAAGAGATTTTTCCTTACACTGCCCCCCCCCCCCCCCCCTTTAACGAGGTCCTCCTTACGAAAGTGCGTGTACATCCCTGAAATTCCGGCTGCGCAGATACTCGGTGAGGACGGGGTGGTGTTCGATTCTGTCCAGGGGAACCCAATTGTCTTCGGTGGGTGTACGGTCCTTCCAGCGGAGTAAGAGCTCGATCCTTCGGGCTCCTCGAGGGTCACGAACTCTGTGGCTCAGGATTTTTTCGGGGGTGATGATTGGTTCAGTCGGCGGTCGTGTCATGCTGGCTGGGCGATTGCGTGGGAGTTGGCTTGTGGACGGGACGTAGGGGCGAAGCAAGCTGACGTGGAACGAGGGGCTGACGTACCAGTCAGCAGGGAGGAGGAGGTGAGCGGTGACGGGTGTTATCATGTGGCGTATGCGAAATGGCCCGCAGTATCGGGGGCGGAGTTTCGGGGTGATGGGCAGTCGGAGATTTTGGGTGTCGAGTAAAACTAAGTCGTCGGGCTGGTAAGTGACAGGTCTGCAGTGGCGGTCGGCGTTGCGTTTAGCGATGATGTTAGCTTTTTTAATTGCGTATGCTGCCCTGGTCCGTGCTGCTTGCAAATTTTCGGGGAACTGTTGCGCGCGTGGAACCGGGTTGTCGGGATTCGGGGTCATGGGTACTGCTGGGTCTTGTCCGTGATTCAGGTAAAACGGTGACTGTTGGGTCGTGGCGGATGGGGCGTTGTTGTATGTGAATTCGATGAGTGGCAGTTGCTGTTCCCACGTGTTTGGGTCGTCGCACGTAGCCCGGATGAGCTGTTCCATGGTCTGATTTGTCCATTCTGTCTGTCCGTCTGTTTCGGGATGGTACGATGAACTAAACTGTAGTCGTGTGCCGAACTGCTGCCACAGGTTTCGCCAGAAGTTGCTGGTGAATTTCGTGTCTCTGTCGCTGATGATTGATGCTTGTATCCCGTGCAGTCGAACGACGGTAGAGATGAAGAGGCGGGCTGTTTCTTCGGCTGTGATTTATTTTTTGCAGGCTGCGAAGTGTGCCATTTTCGTCAGTCGATCGACGACGACCAGGATCGCATCATTTTCACTCGCCCCGGCCGGTAACCCCGTGACGAAGTCCATCGTCACCTGCTACCAAGCACGCTCTGGAGGTGGGATTGGCTGCAACTATCCCGCCGGCCGCTTCCGTGTTGACTTCATGATCTGGCAAGTGGGACACGATGCCACGTGACGCTGTACGTCGGTCAACATTTCGGGCCAGTAATAATACCGCTGCAGCTGCTGCCGTGTTTTCTCTACCCCGAAATGTCCCGAGGTAACCCCGTCATGTGCCTCCTGTAGTAGTAATTCCCGTAGCAGTGTGTACCCTGGTACCCAGATGCGCTCGGTCCCGGCATTAACGTAATAGACTCCCTTGGTTGCTGCGAACTGCTGCGAATTTTCCTACTGTGAAGAATGGGTCCGTTTGATATCCGTGGGTAAATAGTCTTGTCAGTAGCGGGCTGGTCTGGGCGAGTAGCATCGCGTGGATCTGGGCAGTGGGGCGGGTCAGTGCGTCGGCGATGTTCGAGGCTCCTTTTTTATAGGTGACTGTGTAGTGGAAGTTTGACTCGAGGAAATCGAGCCACCGAATCTGTCGTGGGTTGAGGTGGGGCTGTGCGCGGAGGTACTGTAGTGATCGGTGGTCTGTCCGTACTGTCACGTCTGCGCCGGTCAAGTAGCAGCACCACACTTTGAACGCATGCACGATCGCGAGCCTTTCGCGGTCGTGTATCGGGTAATTTCGCTCGGGCGGATGCAGTTTTCGTGACTCGTATGCGATGGGCTGTAGGCCGTTGCCGAAGTCATGTAGCAGTACGGCTCCAATGGCGATGTCGCTTGCGTCTGTAACAACCTCGAAGGGGCGGTGTGGGTCGGCGATGCGCAGGACGGGCGGTGAACAAAGAACATTTTTCAGGGCAGAGAAGGCAGCATGCTCTTTCTCCCCCCACGTAAAAACGACCCCCTTTCGCAGTAAATCCGTCAGCGGGGCGGTCAATTGTGCCATGTCGGGAACGAACCGACAAACATAATTAACGAACCCTAAAAAACTCTGCAGTTCCGTGATGTTCGTCGGGGGACGCCACGCTTTTACCGTATCCAGCTTCTTTGGGTCCATTTCAACTCCAGCCTCCGAAATAACGTGCCCCAAAAATTCTAGCTTGTCCTAAAAAAACTCGCACTTAGAGCCCTTGGTGAGTAGCCGATGTTCCTCTAAAACTTTAAATACTGCTTCGAGATCCGCTAAGTGCTGCTGCTTGTCGCGACTGTAGACGAGGATGTCGTCGAGGTAAACTATCACGCATTTATCTAAGAGTGGCCTAAACGCCTCGTTCATGGTCATCTGAAATGTTGCGGGCGCGTTGGTCAGCCCGAAAGGCATCACCGTGTACTCAAACGACCCGTACCTAGTCCTAAATGTTGTCTTGGCGCAGTCCGATGGTTCGACCCGAATCTGATGGTAACCCCCCCGTAAGTCTATTTTCGAAAACACCCGTGCTGTTCGCAGTTGGTCGATTAGTTCGTCGGCGCGGGGAATGGGTGTCAAATGTTGTAGCCTGTAGTGAGGTTTGTCTTAGGGGGTACAGAAGTTAGGGTTTGTTATATGTACCCCAACCAACATCAATGGCATCATCATTCCTCATTCTGACATGGTATCAGCTAGGTTAGGATCCTGTGGGATCCCGTTCCTCCGTTCTCCGTTCGTCGCCCTGTGAGTCCCCACAGCAGAATGGGGTTGCTGAGCGCCGCATAGGCCTGGTAATGGAGATCGCCTGCACCTCCCTGACTCACGCCCGTGCCCCCCATTTTTTGTGGCCCTACGCGGTCAGGTACGCCGCGCACCAGCTGAACCTCTGGCCACGTGTCTCTCGACCAGAGGTTTCACCGACCAGTCTTTGGACAGGGTCCCTTGGTGTTGCGTCGCGGTTTCGTGTCTGGGGGTGCTTGGCTCTTGTCCGCGACACCTCCGCGGACAAGCTCTCGCCTCGTGCCGTCCCCTGTGTCTTCCTTGGTTTCCCTGAGGACTCCTCTGACTTCACCTTTTACCACCCTCCCTCTCACCGGTTCTTTGACTCCCGTGACGTCCGTTTCGAGGAGTCCACTCCGTACTACGTCAGGTACCCCAGTCAAGGTCTCCAGGTTCCTCCTCCCCCCCTCTTCCTGACTGCCGCTCCCCCTCCTGTTCCCCCGGTACAGCCTCCCCCCCCTGGTCCAGCCCCGTCGGGTGTGTCCCAGGCTACCCCTCCTCCTTCGGTAGCCTCTCCGGTACAGCCTCCCTCCCCACAGTCCTCCTCGCAGCGTGCCGCAGGTGCTAGCTCTCGAGAGGTTGGTGCTGCGCCTGTTCCTGTACCGGTTTCTGGTTCTGGGGGTGGTGGAGTTGGAGTTGGAGTTGGAGCTGGAGTTGGAGCTGGAGTTGGCACTGGAGTTTCTGGTTCTGGGGGTGCTGGGGTTGGAGCTGGAGTTGGAGCTGGAGTTTCTGGTTCTGGAGTTGGAGCTGACCCGGTGGGTGCAGAGGACTCTTGTCGTCCGGGAGCTGATGCTGGTCGCGCGGACACTGGGGGTGAGAGTGCGCCTCCTTCGGGTTCTGGTGAGCCTGGGTCTGGAGCTGGTGTTAGTGCTGCCTCTGGGGGTGGTGCGCCTGGTTCTTCGGGGGTGGACTCTGGAGCTACCGCTGCTTCGGACACTACTCCGCCCCCCCACCCCTACCCGACTAGGCACCAGGCTCGTGTTCGCCGTGCCCGTGACGAGCAGCTGGCGTTGGAGAGAGAGGAGAGGGAGTTACAGCGGCTGGAGGAGCAGCAGCAGCAGCAGCAGCCGCAGGAGCAGGAGCAGCAGCAGCAGCAGCTGGACCCGCAGGAGCAGCAGTCCCAGCAGCAGCCGCTTCCGCAGCAGCAGCAGTCGCAGCAGCAGCAGCAGCAGCCACTTCCTCCTCCTGTCTCGGGTCTTCGGACCCTTGGTCTCCCCTCCCCTTCTCCTCCCTCCTCCGCCTCTCCTCCTGTCTACGGTCCCACGTTTCCTCCTCCTGACTCCTCCCCCGCTGTTTTCCCCAGTTCTCCGCCTTTGTCCTCTCCTCCTCCGTCTCGTTCTTGGGCTACTCGTCGCTCCCTCATCTCTGTGCCATGCTCCTCGCCCCTGAGGGTGACCCCGACGCCCTTGACATTCCGACTCCTCGCACTTACGCTGAGGCAGTGTCAGGGCCTTGGGCCTCTCAGTGGAGAGCTGCCATGGACGCAGAGATG